CCACTCGGACTGCTGCTGTTCCGAGGTGTGAGGTCACCAGGGCTGCCAGCAGCGGGGTATCTCTTCGGTCCTCGAAGGTGTGAGGTCACCAGCATTACTAGCGCTCGGTCTCTCCGCTCGGGCCCTGCCTCTCTAAGGTGTGAGGTCACTAGAACCACTCCTGCCAGCAGCGGGTGTCTCTCCGCTGACCGCCGTAGCGCGGTGGGCAGCCGGTGTCCGTACCGGTCCGGCTGACCGGCCGTGACGCTGTCGACCTGTGACCTATGGCCGCTGGGAGCCACCAGGCGCGCCGTTCACTCACACTCGCGGCGAGCGCTGAGCCGGTGCCGCGCGGCCCGCCGGTACTGCCGCTGAGAGCCGGCCGCTTTTGCCATTGGATAGAGCAGGCGGGGATGGAACCTGAACTGCTGTTTGCTTTCAACTGTCCATTGTACTCCGCAGCTGCGCTAATTAGTTGCCGCTAATGTTCCCCGTTGTATTATTGCGGAGCTGCGTTCACCGACTGCGCTCGCTGAATGTTATTACATCATTCTACGTAGCATTCCATTCAGCGTCTATCTTCGTCGTTACACCGCAGTGTGCAGTTGTGCCTGTGTGAGTGCTCAGCCGGTCTGTCACGCGTGGTTGGGACCGGCTCCTCCCTGGGGCTCCACACGGGCGGGCGGGCCTGTCCGACAGGCGGGCAGGTGTCGTGACTCCTCTGTCAGCTCCGACCGATTGTGGATGCCGCGCCGGTCGTGGGGCGGGCCGCGGCGGTTGGCACGGTCTGGCCGGTCGTGACCTGTCCCGTGGGCCGTCCGCCGTCCACCGATCAATGCTGGCGCTGTACATTTTCTTGTTCCAGTCGCAGTTCTCAGACTGTTTTCCCGGAGTTCTCTGACGGCCGGCTCTGCTCAGAGTCTCTCAGGAGGCTGGGCTGCCTCGCCCCGGGCCTGCGGTCCCGATACCGCGGCCTCGGGTGCCGCCGATATCGCGGCCCGACGCGCTCGGCGTCGTTCTCTGGACAGAATGGGGGTCGTAGAGGGTGATAGTGACGCCCATATCTCCCGAGCCTTCTGTTGCCATCTGCGGCAGCACAGAACGGACGCGTGCGCTGTGTATGGAGTTACCTAATGGCCGCATTTCTGCGCCGTATGCTGGCGGTCTGGGCGGGCCGGCGGCGGCTCGGGTTTCGGCCGGTGGGCGCGCGCAGGTCGTTAGCTGGGTGCCGCAGGCGGTCTGAGGGTCAACGGAGAGCGTCGACGGCCGCCGAGCGGGCGGTCATGTGGGACGAACCCGACGGGCGCTGGCGGGTGCATTCTCGTTCAGGTTTAGACACCTGCGAGCGACGTCGGTTCAAGGAACGCTGCTGCCACCCCGACAGCGACGGCCGCCACAGCGTGTGTGTTCCCTCTCTCCCGAAGTCCCTCTCTTCCAATCGGGCGAGTGCGGATCCGTGTACGACCGCACGGTATCCCGTGTTTCGTTCTTACTTTGTGTACGACTCGTACCCGGTGAACTAAACGGACCGCACCACGACCGGACCCGACAGTTTCTGTGCGTCTCGACTGACCCACGGCCTGGTCCGAACCTACCAACTGCTGCTCGAAGTTGCCACCCGTCGCCCGCCGCCGCCTGCTGGCTCTCGGCTCTGCGTGTGTCGTCAGGGCACGTCCTCGCCCACACATCCTGGTCCCCATCGGCCTCTTCTTATTACCCTCATCAGTCTCAGAGGCGCTGCCCTGGGTCAGGTCAGACGGCTCTCGGGGGCGGATGGTAGGATGGCTCCTTCGGTCGCGCAGCTAGGCAGCGAGCATGGCCGTGCTGATGAGCTACGTGCCTATTCCAGCCTTTTTGTGCAGAACTGTATGGTTTTGCACGGAGTTTGTCTGATTTCCAGCGGCTTCTATATGATGTCACTTACGATTTGGGCTTGAGTAAGATATTGTGCAAAGATTATTGCCGCAATAAAGATTAAACGCGGCGTGCTCGTATCTTCTGATGACGCATAATCCGACATCCTGTTGTTAGGTAACATCTCAATTCCAGCTATGCATCTGTCTTGAATTACGTGATATTTTACGCTTCAGCCTTGCGTCTCATGTGAATAAATCAAGCATTCGCTTCATTAGCTGCCAAACGGTCTGGAATAGGATGAGATGGGCGGCCCGCGGCTGGGCCTCTTGTTTTACGTAGACACGTCCGGTGTTCACCCAGGCCAGGAGCGGTATAGCTGGTCGGGGCAGAACCGGTGGATCAGCCGTCCCCGGCTGTCTGTGTAACTCTTGAGGAGGAGCGCACGGGAACGGTTCGCTGCGCTGGCAGTCGCTGGTTTCGGACCGAAACCCGTCGCTCGGTCTGGAGCTAATGAATAACAGAAGGTCAGACGGATAAACGGTCGCTCGGTCGGGCGGGCGCTCGGGCCAGACGGGCTGACTGATGACATGGTTCCCTTACAGTGCACCACTGTTGGGAGTCGTCGCATCTGCATTCGGCATTCTGTAGCCAAGAGGGGTTAGTTGTAAGTGCATGTCGGCAGGCGCGGTATATGGACGTGTCGAGGACGAATGCGATGTTTTGGGGCCAGCACGACAGGGTGACCAGTCAGTCAGACCATTTTGGTCGCCCAGTTTGTCCGGTGGGCCTGTCACGGACGCGCTGACAGCGGGACGTTTAGTCAACCTGCACAGCGGCGCCTGTGAGGACAGCTTTGGAGCCGCTCGGCTGGTGAAGGGGTTGTAACTGCTGACTGCTGTGTGGAGCCATTGACACACTGTCGATGGTTGAATAGCTCTGGGAGGACGGACCTAGATTCAGAAGCAGTTTGTCTCCATACGGTGGGTACCGCGGCGGTTGACCGAGGTCTCCGCTGTGTGCTGACGGCTGACCGATGGAGGACTTCTGTGCCGACGGCTGACCGACGGACTCCTGTGCTGACGGCTGACCGACGCCGATGTGCTGATGGCTGACCTATGGACCGATCGCCGGAGGACACTCTGTGGCCGCCGGCGGCCGCTCTGTGCGCCCGCCGAGATCGGCCGAGCGCCGCTCGGGGATTGGCCCGGGGCGTGCCGTATTATCGGCAGACGTGGCCGCGCCGACGTGTATGGAGATGGACGGGCGTGTCGGCCGCGCGCGTGGGCCTCCCCATATTGGATACCGCCGCCCCGGCACGCTTATCGCGCCGATCCATGTGAGTAATCGTTTACTGTTGAACGCCACCGCGCCGGGCGCGTCAGGCATCCCACACCGCCCGCCAGCCGGGATGATAGCGCAGCACCTGTTTGACTTTCCGGGACGGTGACAAGGTGTTCCCGTGATTTCCGACGCCACGGAACTGGGAAGGCCGCCGTCGCGCAGCCTAAAGCTCGCGCCTGACGCACGCCTTGCCGGTTCGCGAGAACGCCGACCCACTGTCAACTGAGGTTGCTTCATGGACTTCGGGTTAGGTCGTTTCCGCTCACGTGTTTGATAGGCTTTTAAGGTGGAGTTTAATCGTTTCCGCTGATTTGTTCGATAAGCTGTAGGATGGGGATTTGTGTTTACCATGCACGTCGGTTGGGGTTTTCCAGCTTTAGACGCACAGTGCTTACTCACCATGAATGCCCGAGTAGTCACACTGGGCTGTGATGGATCGTCTTTCGCTGACCCCTGCGAACTTCGCAGTAGAGCGTTTTGTTTGCATGACGTGTATTCTCCCCTGGTCAGTCCCTCTGTGGATAAAGCTCCAGGGTCAGTCCCGCTTGCCTTCTGCGTCTGAACAACTCTGCTCCGCCGTCGGACTGTTGTGTGTGCCGGCGCCGTCTCCGACCCCGGTCCATGGCGGCGGCCGTACCCTCCCATATCGGCGGCGAGCCATACGCGGCCGGCCGCGCCGTGCCGCCGAACGTGCGCCGCCTGCCAAGTGGCCGCCGACCCGGCTGGCGGCGGTGGCCCGCCCGCGCGCGCCACGGGCCGACACAGCCTTTTTGCGGCCGCCGGTCGTTTTGCTGAAGTCGCCGAGCCGGCTGGCGCGGCAGCTGGTGCCGCCCAGACAGCCGGGGAGGGGCGGGTAGGCGGAGGGGTGATTTGGTCGGTGGTTCAGAAAGCTGTGTTGTGACTGTTCTGTTGAGGGTTTAGATTGGATTCGGTGCAATATGCTATTGTCTATTTGCGAATCGGCTGTTTCACGGAATTGCAAGCTTTGAATCCAAACCCCTAAGAGCTCGCGTTTTCTTCACCATTGATTTTCGTCGAGGCTGCTCTTATCTCGCAGTATCTGTAGGTCGCAAATTAAACGGCTCTTAACGACGCCTCGCCTACAAATTTGGTATCCTAAACGGGCTCGTCCCACGCCCCGCCCAACCTTCAGGATCCCCGCGTCGTCCCCATCATTCTTGCTGATCTGTCGCCGACCTACGCAGACTCGGGTTTCTGTCCGGCCACTGAGCTACTGCATTGGGTGCATACAGTAGCAGAGGGCGGGTCCCCTTGTCGTCTGCTCGTGAAGTCAGTTTTGTGGCTGCAGTGAGTGCAGCAGTGTCTCAGACGGTCCCCTGATCGTCAGAGGGTGGAGACTCGAAGCCCTCCCTCCTCCCAAACCCTCCCTCCGACAGCGGGCGCAGCGGAGCGGGTTTCACACCGCGCCAGGCAGGCCCGTGGCTCGCCGCCGCCGGCCTGGAGCGCAAACACTCCGCGCACCCCTTGTGCACCGCGGCTCGGCTCACACTGCGCGTGTTATCGGCCGGCCACGGCGGGGCCGCCGCCGGCCTGTTTGTTCTTCTCCACCCTTCTCGTTATCGCCCCCCCCCCCTCCCCTCCCCCTACGCCCCTTCCCTGGACCCCACTGGCTCGGTGTCGCGTCGTGTCACCTCGGCCCGCTAATCACGATTCAACGTCCCGTTAATGCTCGATTAGCGTGTCCTCCGATCAACTCCCCTCCCCGTTTGGCTGTGAAAGGCCGTCAACACCCGGGTTTATCTTCGCCTCCAGCTCTGTGCGAGCCACCGCCAAACACCCCAAAGGAACCAAGGGTATGTGTATTCATGATTATGCGCGCGTGTCCCGTTCACAGGCGGTACCCAGTCAGCACGTGGGCTCCACGGCTCGGGTCCTGCAGGTACTCCGCCACACACGATGGTGGCCGGACCGGACACTGGGCCGCCTGTGGCCGCAGCCGCCGGAACCGCGCCAAGTCGTGCCGACTGAGCGCGTCGGCCGCGCCGTTCTCTTTTGTTGCCACGTACTCGACGGATACAGCGAACCCATGTAACGCCGTCCAGAACAGGAGCTGACGCAGCAGCGCCATAATCAGTGGCGACCCCGACCATCCCCTCCCCCAGACCCCCACCACCCCCATGTTATCGGACCGGATCAGCACGCGGCGCCCGCCCCATCTCTCTCCCCACACCAAACATGCCACCATGACGGGGATGAGCTCCAGCCACGTCATGGATGGCGCGGCGTCACACTGCAGCTCGCGGGGCCACTCCATCATCCACCATTCGTCTCCGTGCCACGCCCCCATCCCCCGACGTGAGCTGTCCGTGTTCATCACAATACAGTGATCGTACTCGCCCGGTGGCGGGAGCAGGGGAAAGATGCCGTTCCACATTGGCAAAAAAGTGGCCCACCACCGTAAATCCGCCCGTACATCGGCCGTGATCCGCACCCGGCGGTTCGGTCCGCTAACAGAGTGCGCCGCATCTAGCAGGCGTCTAGTGAACGCCCTCCCCGGCGGGACGCACTTGCTGGCGTGTACTAGACGTCCCACCACCGACAGAAGTTCCCGCTGTGTGCATTTCTGTCGCCCGAGCAGTGTCTTTAGTAACTCCTGGATGCCCACTAGCTTGGCGTCTGGCAACGCTAGGGTCATTGTTTCTGTGTCGATCACAACACCGAGAAGCTCCATCCGTGTTGATGGTGGGGCGCATTTCCGCTCGGCCAGCGGCACGCCCACTTCCGCACAAATGTCTCGCAGTCTTGCATACGCTACGTCGGCACTGTCCGATCCTCCGCGCCCTACCCCGAAGAAGTCATCTAAATAATTGCGTATATACACGTCCGATGTCTGATCCTGAAACACTAGGCGCAAGCATGTGGCAAAATCATTAAAAATCCGTGGACTGCTTCTAGCCCCAAATGGCAGACAAACCTGGTAGTATAGTAGACCGTCCCAACAGAACCCCAGTAGCGACCACTGGCCGGGCCGGACGGGTATAAGTTTGAATGCATTTTTAACATCGGCCTTGAACAACAAGGTCCCGGCGCCTCCAGCTAGGAAAATCAACCGCACGGCCTCATCGAATGATGTGTACGTCACACGAAACTCGTCTGGGTCTATGCCGGCGTTGACCCCGACATCTCTCGGCTGTGATAGATCTAAAATAAGCCGCACTTCGCCATTAGGTTTATCGCGCGCACTCAATGGATTCACTATCATGTTCGGCAGAGGTGGAACACGGAACGGTCCCCGTGTCGTGCCGTCCGCGACCTCTCGCCGAATGGCTGCCGTCACCCCGGCACGGCGCCGTTCGGCGGACTGATTGTTTTTTACGAAACGGCTCCGCGCCGCACCGCGGTAACCAATGTCGGCCCCGTGCCGGAACCGCCCAACGACAGTTTCTCTGTCATCTTGGCTAATAAGGGGGCAGGCCCGCAGCACCGCGTCCAGCTGCTCGATGTTGATGACGGTGTCGGCCGGCTTCACTTGCCGCTGTTCGTCCTTTTTCTCATTAGCGGAACGCTCCGCCGCGGAACAGTGCTCCGCGCCCCGCCCCTCCGCGACCAAAGGTAGCCAAACCTCCGAATCCGCCGCGGTGCCCGGCGCCGGCCGGGCCGTGGAAGGCGGAGGGGTGGTCACGTGACCCACAGGCTCCGCACCGTGGGTGAATGCGCCCCGCCCGGCAGGGGTTGCTGCAGGCGTTGTGTTGTTCGTAGAGAAAGCACGTTTGCCCTCTCCGAGCCTCTCCCCGCCTTCCTTCCGTCGTGCGGCCGTCGCCGGCGCCGGTCACCGGAACCATGAACCGGTCAAGGTCAGCCGCGGTTAGGTAATCACGCGGTCTTAGTGCCATGGTTTGTCGAGCCCGGCTGTCGGCCGCCGCGACTGCCCGCAGCGGATGGCGGACCGCTTGCCACAGCAGCCAGGCTAGGTAGCAGATCGCTTGCAGACCGCACTCCGGGAAGTGATACACGGTGTGAGTCATTATCTCCGCGACCCGACACGTGTACTCCACGCTGCTCGCTGGCCGAGTCTCAGCGGCGTCGGCTGCGTCGGCGACTGACACGAACCGCCGCCGATTGCGGAGCCGCCGCTCCGCCCGCGCTTGAACCGCAGGTAGACGCAGATCAGCGGGAGCGGCCGCGGCAGTCGACCGGACTGGCGCCCGTCGGTATGACTGCCGCCGATCTTCCATGTCGTCTTCTGATGACGACGAGGCCGTGTAGGAAGACGCCGCTGTTCGTCGGCGCCGCCGCGGCGGGCTCCCGCTATCGACGCTCCTCCGACGACGCCGGCCCCGGTGTAGGCTGCCGCGGGTTCCGACGGCCGCAGGTGGCCCCAGTCCGGTCTCTACCGTGTGGTTCGCTTGATGCTCACCGCCCCCGGGTGGCATGGGCGCCGGGCCCCACTCCGGTTCCTGTCGATTCCCGCGTGCCCCGTCGTTCGTCTGGGGCGCCGGCACCGGGCCCCACGCCCGGCCACTCTCCCGGCCGCCGAACTCGCGCGGGTGCCCGCCGCCGCTCGGTACCTCACTCGGCCGCGGCCGGCCCTGCGCCCAGCCGGCGCTGGGCCAAGCCGGCGCAGCGCTCGGGCCCGGACCATAAACCGGCTCTCTCCCGTATAGCCTGCCCGGCGCCGGGGGCCGATTGGGGCCGTCCATAGGTCCCGGCCAGGGGGCGTTTCCCACAGGCGCCGACCCACTGTGCTCGTTGTACGGTGCCGGTCTGCCGCTCCCAGGGCCCGCTTGGGGGGCGTCGAACCTCTGCCGTCCATCTGGCTGGTGATAAGGCCAGGTCGGTGCCGTGTGCCCGCACCAAGTCCCGCCGCCGCTGCCGCCGTCAGCGTAGCCGGGGCCAGGGGCCGAGTTCTGCTCGTCGGTGCGCCGAGATCTCCCGACGCCGTCGAGTTCGGCTCGCAGCTGCGCGTCGATGAGCTGCTGTTCGGCGCTCGCCGCGCTGAGTGGCCGGACACCTGCGCATATGCACACAAGACGCCCGGTCAGACACCTATATATGAATGTATGAATTACGATTTAACCGATTCCCCATCCTCCGTTTCCAATATCAATGAGCCCGCTGAAATTTGGTGGGCACGCTGACACTCCATTACAAACGCTGACACGTTTCCAACACTTGACGTGTTAATGTAGCAAAAGTGACCATATTCTCTAGCCCATCGGCTACTGCCAAGTATCCTATCCGTCCCGAATAAAAAAAAGTGTCATCCCCTGTCTCTACCTTTGGTTGTTTAAGTTTAGCGTAAATGTGCCCAAAAATGTTTACCGATGGATTGTGCGATCGTCGCTCGCCGGTGTGTTGTGCCGATCCCTGCGCTGTGTGCAAGGTCACCGTGACCGAGCGATTGCCACCAGAGCCTCCAACGCAGTCCGCCGATGACCTCGAATGTAGCCCTGATACGCCTCGCTTCTCCACCGTCCCAGACTCTGTAGCACGCTGTCTGACACCCCAGCGGCGGCAGCAGCGGTAGCCAGTCCAATCCGAAGCGAATGGGAAGAAAAACTTGGTCCAAGTGCCTCTCTTAGGATCCGGTTTAAGCGCCGCCGTGTGAGAACACCGGCCTCCGTGACGAACAGCGGAGAGTCGGCTCCCGTTCCCTCGTTTCGAGCTTGCCAGAAGGCGTGTGCCGCTCTCACTGGACATGTGGATGTCCCCGTCGCTGGCAAGTCTATGTGTACTGCCGGTCCCCGCTGTCGATTTTTTTGAATCCGGATACGGAGGCGCAGCCCCACCTCCGTGAACGTCACATCGGATAACCGTACTCCTCGACCCGGGCCGGTGTAGAGGAACTCACCACTCCGGAGTCCGCCGTAGAAGGCTAAGGAGCACGCCGCCCACACACAGCGCTGATCCCACGCGGACGGGAGTAGAGCCCCAAGCCGATTTTTCAATTGGCGAAGCAGCGGTACAGTGATCGCTTGCCGTCGCCTCTCGATCGGCTCCCCGCCGCGCATTTCATATCCTCGTAGCGCTGCCTGGAGATACGGTGCAGTGGTGTCCCCGCCGGAAGCGGGTGTCCGCACTGAAGGTGGAGACGCCGTACAGCCGCTAGATATTGTCTTGCAGTGCCTCCTCTCAGGCCGGTCCGCCGCATGTGTCCAATGAAGAAAGTGAGCGTCGTGGCCGACGCCGGGACAGCGCGCAGTGCGTATCGCCGGCAAAACGTCAAGTAGCACCGTTGTCCCGCGCCGTATGCTCGATGTGACGCCGGTGCCAGACTATTGTGCAATAGCGACCGAGTGACGCTAACCAGCTGGGCGTCACCTGCGCACGGATGTGGTTCGCCGAACGGAAAACTGTAGCACGCGCCGTCCATCGTGCGACTGTGCTCCCGCCCCAATGGTCGTCTGAGTGTATCTCCCTCCCCCCCCCCCCCCCCCCCACCCCCACCCTCCGTTATGACCGGCCCCTCCCCAGCACCCAGCCGCCGCTGGAGACCGCTCCCAACGCCCCATCTCCCCTCCCTGGGCCTCGGCACGGCCGACCTGTTTGTCTTAGCGCGCAGCTGCGTGCCCTCAAACTCTCCCTCTCTGCTCTCCCACTCTCCGCTGTCGTCCCGACCGGTCGTAAGCTCCAATATTTGCTCAGCCGCGACAACACCTCGCTGACGACGCCTCGTATATGTTGGGAGCGGGGACGGGGAATAGGAAAGGAAATAGGAAGAAAGTGAGAGAGAGAGAGAGAGAGAGAGAGAGAGAGAGAGAGAGAGAGAGAGAGAGAGAGGGAGGTGGGGAGCTCTCCTCCATCTCCCACCCGGGGCCGAGGGCGCCCACAGAGTACCATACGTCACGAATCAGGTCACACCCGTCGGCCGTGACCATGACACGACGGGGACCACAGTTGCCAGGTCATCCTGTGCCCACGGCATATATGGATCAGGTCACACCCGTCGGCCGTGGCCATGACACGACGGGGACCACAGTTGCCAGGTCCTCCTGTGCACACGGCATGTATGTACAGATCAGGTCACACCCGTCGGCCGTGGCCATGACACGACGGGGACCACAGTTGCCAGGTCATCCTGTGCATACGGCATATACGGATCAGGTCACACCCGTCGGCCGTGGCCATGACACGACGGGGACCACAGTTACCAGGTCATCCTGTTCACACGGCATGTACGGATCAGGTCACACCCGTCGGCCGTGGCCATGACACGACGGGGACCACAGTTGCCAGGTCATCCTGTGCCCACGGCATGTACGGATCAGGTCACACCCGTCGGCCGTGGCCATGGCACGACGGGGACCACAGTTGCCAGGTCATCCTGTTCACACGGCATGTACGGATCAGGTCACACCCGTCGGCCGTGGCCATGACACGACGGGGACCAGTTGCCAGGTCATCCTGTGCATACGGCATATACGGATCAGGTCACACCCGTCGGCCGTGGCCATGACACGACGGGGACCACAGTTACCAGGTCATCCTGTTCACACGGCATGTACGGATCAGGTCACACCCGTCGGCCGTGGCCATGACACGACGGGGACCACAGTTGCCAGGTCATCCTGTGCCCACGGCATGTACGGATCAGGTCACACCCGTCGGCCGTGGCCATGGCACGACGGGGACCACAGTTGCCAGGTCATCCTGTTCACACGGCATGTACGGATCAGGTCACACCCGTCGGCCGTGGCCATGACACGACGGGGACCACAATTGCCAGGTCATCCTGTGCCCACGGCATGTACGGATCAGGTCACACCCGTCGGCCGTGGCCATGGCACGACGGGGACCACAGTTGCCAGGTCATCCTGTTCACACGGCATGTACGGATCAGGTCACACCCGTCGGCCGTGGCCATGACACGACGAGGACCACAGTTGCCAGGTCATCCTGTTCACACGGCATGTACGGATCAGGTCACACCCGTCGGCCGTGGCCATGACACGACGAGGACCACAGTTGCCAGGTCATCCTGTTCACACGGCATGTACGGATCAGGTCACACCCGTCGGCCGTGGCCATGACACGACGGGGACCACAGTTACCAGGTCATCCTGTTCACACGGCATGTACGGATCAGGTCACACCCGTCGGCCGTGGCCATGACACGACGGGGACCACAGTTACCAGGTCATCCTGTTCACACGGCATGTACGGATCAGGTCACACCCGTCGGCCGTGGCCATGGCACGACGGGGACCACAGATGCTGGCCTCTCTAGGCACACGGTGTCGTGGTCAGCTAGATACCCGCCCCTCTCCGTCACGCCCACGTCTATAGCGCCCGTCGAACGGTCCCACCCCCCCCCCCCCTCCTATCCCGTCTCCTCGTGGCCGTTCTACCTAGATTTTTCCCCTCCCCGCAGCCTATCGCTGCGCCCACCTGTCATCCTGCGTCCGTCTCCTGTCGCTCCGTGGATGTAGTCCCGTTATTCCGTACACCAAACCGAACACTTATATCGCGTTCGCCGCGCGCGCCGCGCGAGAAACACTCCGCGCACCCCTTGTGCACCGCGGCTCGGCTCACACTGCGCGTGTTATCGGCCGGCCACGGCGGGGCCGCCGCCGCACTATGGTTGGAAACGGCCTCACGGATGGCCGGGGGTCAACGCGAAAAAATGTTTTGCCCATAACTTGTTAATGCGTAGACCGACTGCGATGAAACTTTGCATAGGTATACCAGTGTCTTTCGTGCATCATACAGTAACTCAGAAATGACGAGGTCACGTCACGTCACGCGTGTGTGACGTCATCATTGCAAGTATGTTATAAGTCGCCTATGTCTTTCGTTATGTTATCGATATCGCGAGGCATTTTGAACATGTTTTGAATACTGCTATTACTGAATGGATATTGTTGTTATGCTTTATGGCAAGACATATCAACGTAGTGACGCACAGTGTCTTACTATTGGTCATAAACGGTCAAAAATTTGGAGAAAGAGTATTTATGATTTTTTTTTAGATTGGGCAAAAAAGTAAGAAATAAAATGACGATCAAATGACAAAACATGCGTCAGATTAACCCGCCAGTTGCTGGGGTATTTCCCCATCCGCCGTTTGCCCGGGGGGGGGGGGCGTTCAACGCCCCCAGCCGATAACTCGCGAACAAATAGGCGCAGCGAAGCGCACGAGGCGCGGCAAACGAAAGAAGAACGCGACGAGACGATTCACATGAATACTTTAAAGTTGAATTTCGAGGTCACAGGTCGGGTCAAGGTCAGGTCAAACACTTGAAATCGGGTTTTCAGTAGCATGGACTTTAGAACCTCGCAATCGGTGCCTCGCGTTTCGCGTTTCGATTATATCGTCATCAGTTGGTCCTAAATAAATTCAGTCATCAGTTGGTCCTAAACAATCTGTCACAACTGTCACAACCCTTCATATAAGTGCTAAAAGAGTGTCAGATCAATGTAGGGGTCAGTCAAACATAGGCCACTGGCCAGGGTCAAAGTCAGGTCAATCAGGTAAGCACATAACCCCGAAAATTAAAACTGGTACCTATTCGCAGCCCATGCATGACACATGTTTTATGGGTACTTTTGGGCGTAGAACACGATGGGGACATTCATTTTATCATACGAGTACGTAGCTGGTTGAAAAAAGATCAATTTCAGAAATGCATGCATCATGGTCGTGAAGTAGTCACGAGAAATTGCCAACATTCAGTTCAAGATTTTGGGAAATGTAGAACGATGATCAAAAACCATAGATAGCCATTTGATTTGCCATGGTATTGGCAGTGTAATGGCGTTTACAGCATGTCTGTATGTCTGCTCTGTCGGTGGATATCCATATCCATACTCCAGGATATCCATACACGTTTGCACGATATCCATACTCCAGGTGCAGCGGCGAGCAGTTACTTCTTACGAGGGGTGCGGAGTCGAAGTCAGAGTCGGAGTCAGAGTCGGAGTCGGAGCCAGAGTCGCCCAGAGTCGTGGCAACGAGCCAGGAGTCGGAGTCGGAGTCGGGGTCGGTCAGGAGCCCGCAGTGGAAGTCGGAGTCGGTCCGAATCGGAACAGCTCCATCACGACTCCGAAACACTGGCAGGGGTCCGGAGTCGGAGACAGAGTCGGCCGGAGTCATGGCAACGAGTCAGGAGTCGGAGTCGTAGTCGGAGTCGGATTTGGCTCCACCACGACTCCGCAACCCTGCTTCTTACCATCATTTATAAGGATAAGCGATTGCAAGACTGACGAGCCGACCTGGTGCTAACGAAGCGACGGGTAGGTACGCCTCGGGAGATGAAGCTTCACGGACGATTTTGCGCACAAGTGCGCAGTCTGCTTTTACGTTCCCCTTACGCAGAATTGAACAGAGACTTATTCTGCCAAAAAGCTCAATGGAGGTCGATGGAGAACTTTTTGTATGTCCAATGAAACATAAACGTAATTTTGCAAATATTGCTGTGGTGACACTGCAAACAGAATGCAATGCCGTTCCTGATTTTGAACACGCATGGGAAAAAGAGTCACTCCACTCGATAGCCAACATAACAAGGATTATTTTGATATATAATAATCCAGTTTTACAACGTCATGGAGGTACTCCACATGCTATCACCAGCGCGGTTGTTTAAACCTTTGACGGCGCACCAAAAAAGCCACTCTCAGAAACTCCCGATTCCACGTACAATAATGGAGACTAAATGCGCAACTAAATAATTTTTTCTGCCCAATTCAAAACATTTCATCAATTTCCAACAGAATGACACCCCAAATATACATATATTCCGAGATTGCCCACGGCCATCCGTGAGGCCGTTTCCAACCATAGTGCGCCGGCCTGTTTGTTCTTCTCCACCCTTCTCGTTATCGCCCCCCCCTCCCCTCCCCCTACGCCCCTTCCCTGGACCCCACTGGCTCGGTGTCGCGTCGTGTCACCTCGGCCCGCTAATCACGATTCAACGTCCCGTTAATGCTCGACTGACAGCTGGGTGTCGAGCTAATGTGAGCGTCTCGGCGGGGCGCCGGCCTGTGCGGTCCCGGCCGAGCGAGCGAGCGGCGCGGCCGGGACCTGCTTCGACACCGCCCGAGTCAAGTCTACGAGATGGATGGAGAGACACCGAGATGGTGACGTTCTTTAGAAGGGTGCTCAGTCGGGGAGGCGCTTGGGTGCGTCTCAGGGACTTGGGAACCGCTTAGAAACTTTTCGGGGTCCGCCTATATACTCGTACTAAGAGTGGGCCCCTTCTGTTTACCGCGGCCGCTGCTGGGGTCAGCGGGACTAGCTCGTGTGCTGTGAACTCGTGGCTGCAAACGGTACTGTGATATTCTGTGATGGATGTTGTTTCCGAATTTTTAGTGAGTTTTAGTGTGGCATAGACTTCTGAATTCTGGATACGTTGGTGAATCGAATAAGGCACCGCCGATCAGATGACCGGTGTTGTGAATTTTGAGCACAATGGAACCCCTTGTCGCCTCTGCTCCCGGTGTCCCTGCTGCAGTCGCTTTCTCTATCCTATTGCGGCGGCACTTGTGCACTGTTACGCAACGGACCGAGTATTGACTGAAAGATTCCTGCGATTGAAAAGAGTGGTTTGAGTGCAAATATTTATATTTGAGCATGATAAAGCATCAAACTGCCTCTTATTCTGACAGTTCTCAATGAGAATGTTGTTGCACTTGGATCGCCTTGCCCTAACCGCTGGAGTATTCCCTTGCCGCTGCATGCTGGCTGGGCGTTCGCCGGTGCCAAGTGCGGTATGCCATGCTCAAGGTCGAGACGTTTTCGTCTGGGCGGCAGGGCGCTCTGTGTTTGCACGAAGCAGCTGCACTGAGTCTCTGACAATAGTGCAGCGGTCGTTCATACTACTGAGTAACTACGGTCAGCTAGACGGACTGGCGTTCGACATTCTCGGCGCAGTGACACGATTTCTGTCGGAGAGAGGCGAAGAAGAGTCGGCCGGCCGCCGAGGTGCCGGTGACGACCAGTGAAAGTGGCAGACGCCGGTGACCCGGGGTCGCCGCTCCGTGACCCCACGAGCTGCGGAGTGCCCGACACCCGTGCCGCCCGCCGTCCGGTCGACTAGCAGCGTGGTTTTGGGGCTCAGCTGCTTCCAGATAGTATAGACCGGAGGTCAGGCAGGATGTTGGGACGGTGAGCTATCGTTCGCCTTCCTGTCGCGTTTGTGGACGCCTGAGCGAGGATGTATTGGAGGAGGAACACCGGAAGCGGCGGTTTCCGTTCAGCAGTAAGATGCTTGGAACTTGTACCAAGGACTCGTGTCCTTGAGCGCGCCGCAGTATTGAGGTAGCGGGTCTGCGTGACAGCACTTTCAATATTTTTGCCGCGTAGCGCAATTGGAGATATCAATGACAGGTCCAACGCTTCTTCAGACTTCAAGTGAATACTGTGGGTAGAACAATGCGACTCTTCGCAAACAATGCCGCGATGGCCAGTTGACGAATGCTAGAGCAATGGCTAGAGGTTCAGCTTTTGACTTAATTTGTCGATTAATTGCGGTTTGAACGAGTGGCATTGCATTGTTCTAGCGTATTATACTAACACTGCACTAACACTGCAACATCATTTCGCCGATCATTGCCAGTTCGTCTCGCCACAGACCCGTGGCGCGGGTGTCTCTCGGTGCCGAGCTTATACCTCCTCCCGGCTCGCTGCGGGTCGCCGCCAGTAAAGCCCCGGTTCGCGATGTCGACTCGGCGGGCGGCCGGGGCCTGTGCTGGCCTCCGAGAGAGCCCGGTCCTAGGCACACCGTCAGCCACCGGCCTCCGAGTGTGCCCGGTCCTCAGCAGACTCAGCCACTGGCCTCGGCCAGTCGGCGTCTCCAGTGCGAGACCAGGCTTATCTTGGTTTTGTGTCACGGTATCGATTGAGGCTCTATTCGTGACAGAGCCGAGGATGGTCTTTTCGGTAGCTCGCTAAATGGCCATGATGGCCATCCCATCTTACTGCGAATGTTGCCCGGAATGGTGGTCTTTGTAACTCACTGGATAGCCACCAGTTCCACCGCGGCCGGTAGCTGGACGCTGGTGCCGGCTAACCCAGCTGTATATACGGACCCCAGCCGGTAGGACGGACGGGCTCGGTCACCGGTGTGCCGCCGCAGCTGCGGGCTTCGACAGCCCAGCTGGCGGTGCGCCGGTGATGAGCTGGGCTGTGACAGCGCGGCCGCCGACGGCTGCGACTGGCCCTCTCAGCTGTGACAGCTCTCTCGGCGTGTGCCGGCGCTGACTCAGGACGCAGGTGTCTAGCGCTAGTTGTCGATAATAGTCCCTAATGAGCTGCCGCCGGGCGACGCGCTCTCGCTCTGTCACTCTGCCCCTCTCTCCCTATCTCCTCTCTCCTCTCTCTCTCTCTCTCTCTCTCTCTCTCTCTCTCTCTCTCTCTCTCTCTCTCTCTCTCTCTCTCTCTCTCTCTCTCTCTCTCTCTCTCTCTCTCTCTCTCTCTCTCTCTCTCCTTTTCTATTTTGTGTCCTCCTGTCTGTCTCTCTCGCCCCTTTTTTGTAAGCGGCTCTCATCTCCACCTTTCTTCATTTCTCGTTCAGCCCCTCTCCATCTTTCCCCTCTCCCTCCTCCTTCTCTGTCCGCCGTTCTCTCCACTTACGGTCTCGACTGGCGAGCGTGCGCCGTCTCTGCCATTCCCGGACGGTCCCTGCCTGCTCGCTGCATCGCGCCGGCCGTGCCACCAATTGATATGTAAATGTGTGAAGACGCCGAGCGACCTTGCCAGCCAGAGACGGCCTTTTGCGGCGCTCCGGCACTCTGCCGGCCGTTCCTCCCGTCCTCTGCCGAGATGGGCGACCAGCGACCCGCGGCGTTCGCTGCGGACCTGGCTGTTGCGGCTGGACTGTGGTCACGTCGGCTAAGACTAGGGGTGCGTTCGGAGAGGCAGATTCCCGGGGAATATTCCACGCCGGCATGAAATTTCCGCCGAATGTGCCGTTCGGAGAGCGATTCCCGGGGGAAAGTTCCGCGGAACGGACGCGGAAAGCGCGGAATCTAAAAAGCATCTCACGCGTCGTTCCCGTCAAGATGGCGGCGCCCATCAATATGCTCGAGTGAGTATATTATTGAATATAAATGGATATTTCTTGCGTTTGTTTCCACCCTGATCAGTTTTATTGCAAATCCAACAATTGATAATGCTTCCTCAGTTGTGCGATTGTCCTCTGAAGCAATGAAAACGATAATTTGAAGTGTTGTGTTGTGTGTGTTTGGGGTGGGGGGGGGGGGGGGTTGGGGGGCACAGTACAGATGGGACTTTTTGAAAATAATTGTGATTTTTCTTAGTTGTAGGTGTAGAAAATCAATATCAATCAACGCTGTCACACACCATCCAACTACTTGCACTGGGCCAACCCAAGTAACCCAAACAAAATCCCACGAACTCAACTTGGCGCAGTAGCGCCGATCCTTGAAATTGGCGGTATGGAATGTCCCTCTCCGAACGCAACACGGGGAATTTTCACGATGACGGGGAATATTCCGCGCTCTCCGAACGCACCCTAGGATTTCGATATATGTTTAATCATTGTGATGGCCTCTCAATGTGCTTTTGAGCTGCATTTTGCGGTGTGGTTACGTAATTTGCGTGTGTTCGTCATACCTACGCAAAACGATCAGTCAGTCGATCAGCCTTCCCTCCCGAATATGCGAAGATTTGCTGTTTTCCGTCAGTCAGGACCCTTGAAGTTTGATGTGGGTTTGAGGAGGCGTTACAGTTGCCTTTCGCACTTCCCTTCTTTGCTGACTCTGATTTCACTGTGAGGCTCTGATCTCCCTCCTGTAGATACTCTAATCTGTGCCTACCAACGAACTCTGCCCTGCTCCCATCCCTGCAGCCTCCGCTGCGTCCGCCTCTGCCCCTCTGCAGCCCGGTGACAGCGTCCAGTGATGGAACCCCGCTGCAGGCTGCCAGCCTGGTCTCTGTTACTGCGGTCACCACAACACGGATACTGCGTCAGGCTCGCACAAACACCTCTGCTCGGCTGGGAACGGTCAAACTAGCGAGCCGCGGTGCAACCGTCACCACGAGCCGGCAACAGGTGGCGAACAAACAGACGCCTCCTCTCAGCTCCTTCACCGTTGTTGCTTTTGTGGGGTGTTTGGTATTCGAGTGTGAAGTCAGAAGAAGCTGGGTAGGAAATGCAGGATCAGTTGAGAAGGTGATATCTGATGGAGGAAGAAGTCGATTCATGCTGAAAAAGTACAAGTTCACGCGGTTTTCTCAATTTCGTTGCTGTAAGATGGGCGCTGCAGATATTGTCTCGCTATGGATAGTGGATACGCTGCGTGTCTCAGTGGCGTGTCAAATCATTTGCTCCTTATTTTCGTCCTTTGCAATATCGCAGACGTGTTTACTGTTTGGCCATAACTCTGAATTCAATCTAAACTCGCCACCCCGGCTGTGAGCCCGCCGTACCGTCGCGTGCCGGCGCCGCTGTTGAGCGCCGTCTGTTTGGTCGCTGAGTGCAGCGCGGCCAGCCGGCCGCCGCTGGGTCGATGCCTCGCCCGCCGCTCGTCTGTTGATCGCTGGCTGGCTGCTGCAGGGCGCTCGGCGTGGGACGGTAACACGGCCGGTCGGAGCAGCGAACGGGCGGTGCAATACGGGCTGGAGCGTGATCGGTCGTAGCTTTGTTTGGGTTTGTCAGCGGTGGTTTTGGTGAGCTGATGTTAGAAGTAATTTTATGGGAAAATGAGAAAAGCAAAGAGACAATCGATAGATGTTGAGAGGTGACAGGTTGAGAGGTAACTCCAAGGTTACGGGCAGGGATTGGCATGTCCTGTTGGCGATGTTTGTACGGCGGGCTGTTTGACTTCCCTGATCTATAGGTATATCAGATCGATCGATCTTGTCCTATCAAGGGCCTGGTGGAGAATGCCACGAGGGGCCCTCTGAGTTCCGCGAAGCGTCCACTGTCCTCAGGGGCTGCGGCACAGCGTCTTCCCGAACCTCCTCCTCCCCGAACGGTCGGTCATCGTCGTCCATCCCGCGCCGTGTCAGTCTGATTAGTGTCTGTGTCCACTGGGCCGGCAGGGGCTCCACGGTCCTCTCCCGTCCCTTGAGGTCACAGCCTCACCGCCTGACCGCCGCCGCACGGCCCCGGCCGCTCAAACATGCATACCATTACACATGTATGATGGAGCGCGATGATGTGTATGCAGATGTATAGGGCGGCGAGATGCACCTGCAGGGTCGTGTCCGCCAGCCGCGACCGGTTTGGAGGAGGAGATGCAATCACGGAGGCATCGGGCGCGCCTGACTCCGGCGGGTTTTTCACTGTTAGGTCAATTGTATGGTAAACAGTTGTGACTGTATCTTTTTCGAAAGCTGATACCTTTTAGGCTCTCATTGCGATTGCAGTTCAATTTACGGGTTTTATCCATTTAACTATGATCATTGTCGTTGTGTTAAATCCCGTGTCTGGTCTAACCCTGCCCCCTGACTTGCGTTGGCCGGTGACGCCCGAACCCCCGACCAACTCTGGCACACTTGTATTGGTGTATGTGACTGACCCGTTTCTCCATTTTTGTGCTGACTGGCGGGAGAAACCCCCTTCTGACTGGCACACCTGTATTTGTGTATGTGACTGAGCCGTCGCCCCATTTGTTGTGTGCCCTCAGGCGGGAGTGGACGGCTCGATGGGTAACCGGGTGTCGGGCGGCAGCGCCACCAGCTCAGACGAGCCGGGAGCCGCCGCCGCCGCCGCCGCTGCTGACGACCAGGACGAGCCCGAGCTGCCGCCGCCGATGCGCGTGCTGGAGGACCCGGCGGCCGTGGCCGGACCGGCTGCCACCGTCACAGACGGCGCCGCACACGGGGTGAGTCGAGGCGAGGTGGTGATAAAGGGAAGGATGTAGTGGTATGCCGCTGGGTTGAGGGACGGGCTTTGCCGGATCTGCGAGGCGATTGGGGCGGTAGGGTTGCGTTTTACGGTCGTGCTGTGGCTCCTGTCTAGCTGTGTGAGAGTTATGCTGTCTGTTATAATGCTAGACTTCGACAATCCGGGCAGCGGCTTGACCACCGACTGGACTAGCTGACTGGCTGGCTGTGCAGTTCTGGTGGGAGGCTGACCGCTGGACCCCTGGGTACCGGGCTCACCGTTGTGTGGTCGGTTTTTGACGTTAACCTGTATGACGTGGCGGGTTTTCAGCCGGAGCTGGCCGCCGGCAGCTCTGCCGAGCACGCCGCCACAGAGCTGGAGCAGCTGGTCAAACAGCGCCTGGTAACCACCCCCTCCCCGTGTGCCCCCTCCCCCCTCACTGTCAGTGTGCTGTAGTGAGAGCCGCGGCATGATAGATCCCACACAGCTGCATGGCTGAGCCCCGGAAATGTCCGGAATCCCGCGACACGCCGGCTCCAGACTGCACTCCCCGCGGTCAACTGCTCGCCCGCTCCGACAGACGTGCCCTTTTTCAGCTGGTGGTCATTTTTCTGACGGCCACTGCATGGTTGTTAGCAGTGTGTCGCTCGCTCTGCGTGTGCCTCTCACCTGTGTTTAATGCTGTAGTGTTGGATGAGTGAGCTTTGCATGGTGTGACGCAGTGTTTGAGCCCCGAATAACACAGCTCGCGCGTGTTTACGTGCACGTACGTACGTGTCTATGAGGATGTGTGTCACGGGGTCGGTCTCGTTCTGCTGCTTTGTGCGGCTCGAGAGCGTGAGGTCGGCTGCGGTTTTGTGGAGGCGAGATGGTGCGCCTGTGGCTTCAGTCAGAGCTGGTTAAAGCGAGCTGGCGCTCAAAGCTACACGCAGGTCTTAGGTGTGATAATAAATCACTCTCTGGTTGCCAGGGCGGCGCGGCGCCCTGCGTTCAGAAACGAAACCTCTCTGCCACTCTGCCTTAGAAACGAAAATAAATACCGGCCACTTTGACCGGTCTCGGCGCCGGCGCTGTGTCGACCCGACCCGGGGACCTCTGCGCCGTCCGCGCGGCGCTGGCTCGCTCACTTTCCTCGGCACATCGTATTGTGTGCCGAAGGTCGGCAGGCGACTGCAAGTCACGCCGGATTACACGCAGCGCCGGCGGCGCGGAGGGCCGGGGAGGACGGCGGCGGGTGGCTCTGCCGCACGGGCCGTGCATTGTAATCAACGAGCTCTCCGTGGATCGGTGTCGTGTCTCGAACTCTCCAGCTTCTGTTGTGGTTCGAGATATGACAGTCCACTGTCTGTATATTTGTATGGCCGTTGTCTGGATGATGTGAGGTGCTCTATGGTGTCTGAGTTGTGACGTCTGTGTGAGTGTCCAGGCGCGAATTCTGCGCTTGTGTTTTTTTTTCTATTCCTATATTATGAAGGTGTCTATTTAAGTATCTACAGGTACGCAAACAGATGTACATATTTATCTGGGGTGCATGTTCATTGTGAAGATGATGTTCGAGTACCGTAATGGCAGCCGTGGCATCTCAAAGGCCGGCCGAGCGTCGTCAGTGTGCACGGACACCTACCCCATCCTCCATCCTCGGTCTGTGTGTATGTAGAGGCGCGGTGGGACGGACAGTGCCGTCCTGTCGTCGGAGAGCGCACAAACCGTGGCGACGACAGGCCGCTGACGTCAACGCTGCGCAGAGACCGCACACTGGGCCAGAGGCCGCCGCACAGTGGGCCTGAGGTCGCCGCACTGTGGACCAATCAGTAAACACGCGGTGGTGCAACGGCGTGAAATGGAGAATTTACACGCTGACAGCGGCTCACAGGCGTGCAAGGCGAACCCCTGTGTGTCAGTTAAGGCCGGCGGTTTTAATGAGGACGTGATTTGCATCTCGGCGGACAAATTCGAATGCAGACCGGTGCGCCGGAGCCTCTGCGGCCCCGTTCGTTACCTTGTATGTCTCGGAGGTGAGTGGTGTCATTTGTTCATGTCGCTGTCCGGCCGGAGCGGGCGTGGTCTGGCGGTGCACGGGGCGTGGTCTGGCGTTGGACTGGGCGTGGTCAGGACAGTGATGCTAGTCGTGTCCGGCACGTCACGAGTATGAAGGGTGTCGCTGCATGTAACAGTCGGGATACATGCCGATCGCGATGTCCCCTGCCTCCTGCGAAGTTATTGGGCTGTTACTGCTTACCGAAGCGTAACGTTCGATGCTGTTAATTTTGACTAAAATTTCATAAATGCTTGCGTAGTCGTTATGTAGAATCGACAGATCCGATGTTCGATTCCTCGCTCATTTTCCCGGTATTCGGCCCCTATCTCGACTGTCACGGTTTGACACCATCGCCCTCATGCCACCCGACCCGACTGGCCCATGGCCAAGTTCGTCGGTCTTTCTTCATGTGCCTTCACTTAGCGCGAGAGCTGCTAATCCCTCGACAGAATGTAATTATAATAAAGTGTCGGCGGCGGCAGAGTTGGCGTCGGACCGCCTTCATTCTCGGACGACTGCTTTATCGAGGTCCGAGAGGCGCGAGTTGACGTGTTGGACGGGGGCCGGAGGCTGGGGGGGGGGGGGGGGAACTGTTGGAGGGTGTCCAGTTCACTGGGGTGGCTCCCCGGACACCTCAGTAATCGCTGGGAAGAACATAGAAAGAAATGTGAGAGGGTTTTTACTGGCATACTAGCTTACTGGGATATTTAGTTGGCTGCAATGGAGGTTCAACTCCCAGGGGTGGATACTGGATATCCGCTAGGGCACTGAGGTCAACATAGTGAGAAGGGCTGTGCGATGACTTCAGAGCTCCTGGACCACCTCTGGAGAAAATCAGCTGCAAAATAACGGATCTGGAGATATGCGCCTCGAAGGTGGTCCCCATGAGGCGTCTGGGTCACCATCGAAATATTCGGTTAAGTAAACAAATTTCAGACGAATTTCGATGACTGAGGAAAATCCGGAGCCGTTGCATGCCATTTTGCTATTCCAAACCGTCCGCTAAATTAGACTTCTGTCTCAACCTCGTACGTATTCAATCTGCCGCGCATTTCGATCTCCAATCTTTTATTTCGCCCAGCGGGCCGTCCATTTCAATGGGGTCGGCCTGTGATGGTCGTTGGCCGCCCACGGTATGGTCGGGCCGACGTACGGCCCTCGTCGGCGAGCGACTGCAGACGCTCGCCGTTCCTCGCTCGCCGGGCTCGGGGTCTGTATCGATCGCGACTCCTTTGGTGCTGACGGCGACGGCGCTGTCAGCCGGTCGGGCCGCGCGCCGCCTGGCCCTGATGGAGAGGCCGTGGACCACGGACGTGCGCCTGCCTGGAGACACCGCACGTGACCTAGGGGTGACCTCAGTTCTAGGATGGGGTTTGCTCACTTTGGCTGAAAATAGGGGAAGAGATAACGGCTGTAGCTTCTAAAGGGTGACGCTTTGAATGAGAAACCAAACCCCAAGTGACTGGAGTGATCGGATGGTTGGCTAAGTTTATTGCAAAACTCACCGGATGCCTCGTATGTAGATAAACAATCACTGCAGCTCCCAGTCATGGAAAGAGGAGAGGAGTGTGGGCAGAGGAGGCTGTATCCGGCGGGTCAGTGCCGGATGATGTCACTGGCGGTGACTTCAGCGGCCAGGGCCGGCGGCTGAGGCCTGTGGACGCCTGTATAACGACCTGAGGAGACGACCCGTGCCGTCATCGAGTGCTTGTCGCTGGCTACTGGACACAGCGGGACACACCCGTGGACTGCGGCGGAGTATGAACGGGCCCTGGTGCTGCTGTGGCGTCTGAGGACGCCTTTTGGAGTCCGTTCGACGGCGTAGTGCCGCACGGACGGTTTGCTATTGCTCCGTCGACGTTGTTGACCAAACGTGTTGTGAAACTCCACCGGATGCTGGATGCCGATATACACTCCTTGTTGGTAGATAGGAGAGGGTAAGCATTGCAATGGAAGTCTGGCAGTGCATGGTTGAACACTAAATATCAACGCACTAGTCCCTCACTGGGATGGATGAAACGGGCTCACTGTTCGACAATCCGTATTGGCTATCGTTACTACCGAGCTTGGTCGGCTGAGGTGTCCACTGTCCAGCTGAGAGCTACATGCCACCGCCTGGAGAGCGTCGGCCCTCAGTGTGTGTACGGGCAGCGTGGCCCGAGCGTCGCCGGTGGTATGTGTGTGAGTCGCCGGTCCCGGGATTTACACGACTCTGGGTCTGTGTGTGTGCCGGTGTTTGGTCTGTCCGCGGCCGATCTGTGTCAAGGTGGCCGGCCGACCGACCGAGCGACTGACTGGCCCGTTTGGGTGTCTCCGTCCGTCCGTTTCCGTCAGTGTCTCCGGCTCTGTCTCCGTGTATCAAGTTGTCTTCACTGCACTGGTTATGTATCCGTCTGGAGTGTCAGTCTCTTGTGTTTGAGGACCGTTCACAGTTCCGCCGTTTCGAGACTTTGATGTGGTCTTATGGGTTTAATGCGTGGTTTATGTGATGTGCGCTGACAGCTGGGAGTCTGTATTGCCATATTCGTATGACTATGCCAGTGTGTCAGCAGTGTGTCATTGCCGTGGCGGCGGTGTATCTGTCCTTGGTTATGATTGGAATGTCTGATGGTTCGTTAGTAAAAAGCACGGTGTGATGTTTAGATGATGCTGATTGCGAGTGTTTGCATGTTGGCCCGCTTGTTTACGATAGTACTAGTGTAGCTGCCCGCTTTTCCCTGTATGACATCATGTTCAGTGTGCACTTGAATGTCTCACAGCGATGTAATTCCAGACATGTGTAACGGTTTATAAGCCGTTGCGTAGGCAGCTCATCTGACATGTGTCTAAGTATGATATTTTTAGTACTTACCTCAACGGCCTTACCGTTAGCTTGTTTGTACAAAACGCCAGCTTGCCTCACGTGTGTTCTATGTAAGGTTGTGTGTAATGATGCACCCGCTTACCTCAGTTATCCTGTGTATCTGGCGAGTATCTGGCGTGTATCTGATGTGCATCTGACGAGTATCTGACATCTCTCTCCAGGAGGGTCACACGGAGGGTGACGGTCCTCCGGGGCGGGCCGAGCCGCCCGACCCGGCGCCGGACGGCGCGCAGGGCGGCTCCTCAGAGGACGAGGACGAGGAAACCTCGCGGCAGCAGAAGGCGCTCAAAAAGAGGAGTTTCGTCATCCAGGAGCTGGTCGATACGGAGCGGGAATACATCCGCTCGCTGGGCCAGGTGAGAATGGTGGTGAATTAAAAGGTGTTGGGACTTGGGAGAGGGTGTGGCTACTGGCTTGATGGGATTGAACGGCAAAATGTACAAAACGTGCGTAATTAGCACGCGTGTAGTGTAAGTTGGCTGTGGAAAACGTTGGAGGAAGACGTTTTTTACATAGTAGCTTCTTAGTGAGCGAAGACAGCAATTGACGGCAATAGACAGCTTAGGGCTGTTAAAAGCTTCCTTGGTCTTGAGAACAGCAAATGAAACAATACATTCCTGGCTGATCCATTGGCGTCGGGGCACGAGGGCGGATTTTAGCACGGCATTCTGACTGCAGCCTTTTGCTGTCAAGAGGTGATGGTTATCTTAAGAAGCATCATGGCTTTAAATGTGAAGATAATAGGTTTAGCGAACACTCAGCCTTCTTTCAGTTGCGATGTCTGAGACGGCTTTTTCTTTATCATTCTCGGATGAAATAGGAGGGAATTAATGCCCATTGTCGAAGCAGTTAGTTTTGACAGCTTTTCTCCGGGCGGCTGGAGAGCGACTGAAATTCCTGCCTGCCTCTGATCCCTGCCGGCTTTGTCTGAGTTTTCCGAGCTGCTGATTGTCTGCTGGTGGCCAATTAGATGTTCGCCGAGCCGCCTAAGCCGGCTGATTGCCCGAATCCCACTGACGGATTAGTCTGTGTGCAGTAGGATTTTTATGGCGCGTGCCTGCCTCTCGTCAGTTCTCAGAATGGCCGGTGACTAGACAAGGCTGTGGACTGGAACCAGTTGTCATCATGGGACTTCGTAACGTCGACATGGCATGCAAGCATGTCAACATGCCGCTATTCCCCACCACTGAGATATTCTGCTGATTTTTATGACGTACTGCAGTTCTGAGGATTTTTCAGTTCATGATTTATCGAATCAGTGTTATCGCACGTGCGATCGGATTCCACTATACCGATAACAGATGTGATACCCACAATACCAGCTGTCGACCGGTATCGCTGCTGGGTCGTGTGTCCGTGGCCCGGCTCTCGGAAACCCTCCCCGGCCGCCGGTCGGTGCTCAGCGGTCGGACGGAAGCCTTTATCGCCTGTTTATAGCGCGCCCGGCACGCCGCTGTTTGCCTACCACACGGACCGGTGATAATGACGCTCCGATGAGAGTTAGCGAGCCAGGAGTCCGGTGGGCCAGTCAGAAGCCGCGGTAGGCGATCCAAAAGGCACAGTGGGCGAGCCAAAAGTGTGTTAGGTGAGCTAGGATTGTGGTAGAGGAGCCAGGAGCGTGGGAAGGAAGCCAGATGCCGTTGTAAGCGAGGCAGGAGCCACGGTCGGTGCTACGGCACCGCCGCATTGGAAGGGAAGCCATAGCAGCAGCGTGCTGTTCTTAAAGAGGATTGTTTGCAGCAATCTGTTGATATTCGATGCATCCAAAAGGGATTTACGGAAGCTGTCAAGCCAGTGGAGGCGCTGGGTGGTTGTGGGGCGTGGCCGTGGTTTAGGGACCCCCATTCGGGACGGTGCCGCGGGCCCTTGGAGGCCGGCCAAGGCGTCGACACGCCGCTGTTACTCTCCTGTGGCGCTGCGGGGTGGGCGGGCGGCGGGGAGGCGATGTGCGTGGTAGATGTCTCACATGTGACGGCCGAGATGTCAGCTTTGTGCGAGCGAGAGGCCGCCCTGCGCGTGGTTGGGACATCTGACGGGAGGTACGACACCATAGGCTCGGCTGCTGTCAGTTTGGGCCGACACCGGCTCTGTAGAACCTTCCAGATGTTCCGCTCTGATTCAGAGACTCAATGACACCGGAAGGGTGTTGAAGTAAGTTGTCCGGTGGCTTTTGGTCTCCTAAATAAGTTACCTCACCCGTGAAAGACTGTCATGGAGAAAGGCGAACTCTTTTAGTGAAGGGATGCCCTCGATACGGTAGGAACCCCAGCTCGGAAGGTTGTAATGTGCTACAAAAGAACAAGCAGTTTCCATCAGGTGGCTGGTGTATGCCGGTATTCCCACCCTGAATACAAGGTAAAGAATGGGTCGTCAGAATGCCTATTAGCGCCAGTAGCTAGCTTCCCATAGTGAAGCCCCTGCACGCGTTACGGAACCGCCGCTGCCGTCGGCTGCAGAGTTACTTACTTGTACTTGTTGGGTTAGGGCGCATAGCCTCGTTGGGCTCAAGCGTCCGTATGGCTGCAGAGTTATGCAGCAGCGACTGCGCCATTTCTCGCCGCGTCCGCCGCCTGTTTCCAATCGGCCCAGCCGGTCGAAGAGGCGGCGCCGGCGCAAAAAGCGTCTCAGACAGCGACCGCCGGCAGCGCGGCACCGCTTTGGGCCGTGTTTTGCGCCGGCGGGACGCGTCCCAATGCCGACACATGCTGTCAGATTTCGTGTTGGCAGAGCGTGCCGGACGTGTTGACAGGCGGGGCTCGGAAAACAGACGACCGCGACCGGCACGGGCTCCCACGCGGTGTCACCCGCTCGCCAAAAGTGCCGCGCTGCGTCGGGCGGCGGCACGTCTGCTGTGATCGCGCCGCGTCCCAGACGCGCTCTGTTTGGTCGGGCTGTGGGCGGGAGTCGGACGGGGCGACACTGCAGAGGCGCCGGTGGTGGTCCGACGGGTGGGGAGGGGACGCTCACGGCGCCACGCTGCTGACGGGGCCATTATACTCCGTGTCACAGGCCGCCCCCGCCCCCGCCCCCGCCCCCGGGTGACTCAGAGCCAGTCAAAGCTCACCCACGCGGGTGTGTGTGACCGTTCCGCCGCGGTTCCACCACTGTTTGGCTGCCGCGACTGAGGTGTTTCCGGAGCTTACGAAGCCGCCGGGCTGCGGGAACGCGTGGGCGACTATTACGACCCCAGGGAGCCTGTGTTAGGCGATTGGGTGCCGAATCGGCGGTCGTTTGGGCGATGGGTGGCCAGGTGTGTGGGCCGGCGCCCGGCGGTCTGCGGCGGCGCAGCTGTCAAGACGGAGTGGTAGCGATGTTTACTTGCATGTTTTCGGCTAGTGTTTGATGTCGGTCATGCACCTGCGTGCGTTATCGGTGTCTTAAAGTTAGTTTTTTACATGATCTATGTGGGCGTGTTGCTTTAGGCGAACTTACTTTGCCGGGCGGCTCAGGACGGGAGGTGTAGAAGATGACAATTCGTATGTTCGTGAGGAAAACCTGAAATCATCCACTCCGCCCCTCACCTCCTTGGCTGTCGCTCTACATAGGTCCATCCCACCCTGTTTCTAGCACCCATCTCCTCCTCTCATGACTGACCATCTGTTCTCTCCGTTCGACAGATCGTGGACGGCTACCTGCGGCTGATGCGCGATGAAAACTGTCCCGTCCCCCTGCCGGAGGATCTCTGCTCTGATAAGGACCGGCTCATGGGCAAAGACAAAATCATCTTCGGCAACATCGAGGCCATCTATGAGTGGCATCGAGAGTGAGTATTCCGGAGGACATTCGGGAAGGGGCAGGGACCGGCTTTCCCGAGTTAGAGCTGACGGGGATATCCAGATGTCTACGCCATTTGGCTGTATGTCCGGGATTAGTTGGGCGCATTGAGTTTAGGGAAATGTATGTTCTTTGCTGGTGAATCGCGCATTTTGTGTACATTCTGTTTCCTACACCGTGTTTCCTGTTTCCTGGATTAAACTGTGGTAGTGTGTCTGATGCTACTCCTTCCATGTTTTCCTGTCCTGCGTCAGTACACTCGTGTTGAGGCGACTCGAGACGCAGCCGGGGCGTCGGATGCCTCCGTTTTGGACGCGCGTATATCTGGTCCGCGTCTGTCGTTCACTGATGACGTCAATGTCGGCATCTGATGACGTCAGCGTGCAGTGCTGAGTTGGAGCGCTGAGTGCAGGCTGTTACAGACGGACTGGTGGATGATGGTCCCCGAGAGATGCCACCGATCCCGGCCCGGCCGCGGGTCGGAGTAGGGCATACAGTCGTGTGGCGCAGCTCGGGGGAAACGGACATTGTTAACTTGGTTTCCTACGATAGCCAGTTTCCTTTTCCATAGACGTTGTAGGCTGAAATGCCTCACAGGAGCTCGTCAAAATCGTTAATCTCTTAGTATTTGGGGACATCGTGTATTCACCAGAATAGGCGGTGCACGGGGCTCCCCCTCATGCTGTTTAAGGCGACATCCGTGCTCGAGATGAATCACTGTGTTTCTGCGGAGTGAAGCAGGCATCCTGTAATGTCCTGCGACTGGCCCGTTAGCGATCACTGATGGTACTCCCACGGGGCCAGCTGGGCCGACTGACTCAGTAGAGTGACTCTCTGTGTTTAGACTAGCGTCTAACCAGGGCGCGCTCCACCAGCCCTCTCGGAAATCCGTTGACATGTCCCGCGGTGCGGTATGCGGCTGCCGCGCTAAACCGCGTCCCAGGCCCGTGTTTGTGTTAAACTGACCTCACCCTGCAGACTGTGACGTCACCCGACTGAGTGTAACGTCATCAATGACACGTGACCCGCCCGGTGTTTTGGCAGTTCGTTCCTGAAGGCGCTCGAGCGGTGTATAGACAACCCTGCTGAGCTAGGCCCTCTGTTCAAGCGGTACGAACGCAAGCTGCACATGTATGTCGTCTACTGCGAGAACAAACCCAAGTCTGAGTACATCGTATCGGAGCATATCGACACGTATTTCGAGGTAAGTGAGGGTATGATGGACGTTGAAAGGTTTCATGACCGTGTGTCTGGGCCCTAGCATTGTCCAATCTGTGCTGCTCGGGCGAAATGTCATTGAAGAGTGATTTGTAGCGACAGCTTAGGAGGGCAGTTGCAATAATGGGAGGGAATTATTCGTGTTGTCCATTGTTTTGGAGTTGATAGGCATCTCGTCTGTCTGGTGCGAAGCCGCAGCGGCAACAGTCGCTATTGATCGTTCATGTGACTCTCCTTGGAAAAGTAATAGCTTCAGTCTCGGCAGCGTGAGGATCAGAGCTGCGACGAGAAGTCCTTCAGATGCATTATTTTGGACTTGTGCGTGAAAAGGTGCTATACTCGTAAGCGCTACTTTTTTCTTGTATTGTCACGTCTGACGCGTCAAAATAGTCGGCTTTGTGTGTGCCGTCCCGGTCAGTGTTATGATCGAGCGTTGTTCTTTTACTGTACGTCGCACTATTATGACGTACTCTGTCAGCGTGACGCCGGCCGCTGCAGACGCATGACGTGTGCGTCACTGTCTGTCCAATGGCGTCATCGGTCTGCGCCCGTCATGACAGTAATGAGTTGCACTCGACCGGGCGATGAGCAGCGCGCACCGTCGCTCAGTGTTATCGATCTGCCCGAGCGCCGACCGCCGTCTGCGGCAGGGGTCAAGAGTAAGCGGGCCCTTGGAGCGGCGCCGTAATCGAGGCCATCGATCCGACCAACAGTTAAACGCGCCTCCGACGACAGAGGCGACGGTGGCGGCTGCGAAGGGGCGATATAGGCGAGCTGTGGTGGCGGCCCGTACTAACAGTTGGTGCAACGGCTGACAGATGTCGCGCCTGTTGCAGGAGCTCCGGAAACTGTTGAATCACAAACACCAGCTGACGGACCTGCTGATCCAGCCGATCCAGAGGATCATGCGGTATCAGCTGCTTCTGAATCAGATTCTCAGGTGAGATGCGGGATGTGATGCCACACACTTTGTTGTATGACGTGTGGTTCAATTAAATGTCGCTTTTTCTAAAAAAAAGCGCATTCGACATTTGGGTATGATAATGTAAACGAATTTCTTTTGGATAGTTCTATGAAACGTCAACTTGCCTTCCTGAATATCTTTCTAGCTTGCAGTATATTCATGTTTCACTTTCCTTTCAGTATCGTTTACTTTGTAAAAGTGGCTGGCGGTCCAACCCACGTCATCACAGACTTTCCCACTTTCCCACCCAACAAACTTCGAACTTTGTGCTCTGACCCAACCGACCTCGGATGACCCCCGGGCCCCGGCTGACTTCTCTTTGACCCCTGACAGGCACACAGAGGTAGCGGGTCTCACCGACGAAGTGGAGGCACTACGGAAGGCCGTCAACGTCATGATCGTGGTGCCGAAGGCGGCAGACGACATGATGAACGTCGGCAGACTGCAGGGATTCGACGTGAGTACTCGTGCTGCCCCTGGGAAGGGAGGCATCCGGGTTGGGCCGAAGCGTGGGACAAGGGCAGCCCGGTTGTGGGAGAGGCGGTGGAGGAATTAACTGACGGTTCATGCTGGTCTAGTTTGTCAGGCGTGTGGGGAAAGTTTGCACGCTTGTTACGATGATAAAGTATTTCTGATGATAGTGTTCAGGATGGCAAGTGTCAGTTATTGTTTCTTGATGGTGATGATGTGTGTTTTAACTTGACAAAGCATAGTCATTTTGTGGGAAAGGTGAATTCATATCAAGTGAATGTGTTGACGAACAGCTGCGAAATACCCCGGCAAAACACACGCTGCGACGAAACACCAGTTACGGCCGCGACTGTCCGTACCCGGGACCCCTGACGTTCACTCCAATCTCTCTGTTTTCGCAGGGGAAGATCACTGCGCAGGGCAAGCTGAAGCGGTTTGGCAACATGCTCTGCTGCGAGGGTGTCTCGGCGGCCAACTTCCGCGGGAAGGAGCACGTGGTGTTTTTGTTCGAGCAGAATGTGATATTTAGTGTGCCGCTGGGCCGCCGCTCGGCGTTCACGAACCCCGGATACGTGTACAAAAGCCACATACAGGTCAGTCAGCAGGCGGGGCGTGCGAAGTGGGAAGTGATTTGGGAGGGAAAACTGGGATGGGATATGCTGGGAGAGTGATTTGGCAACCTCCTGGAGTGATTGATGAGCTGGGGAAGGGAACCTATAAGCTGAGTCTGTCAGCCATATGGTAATCTTAAAAGATGTTCAGGTTGGTTTCTCAGGATCAGACATTTGAAAGCTTATACAGTTTGATGAGTCAATTTCAATACAAATGTTAATCGTTCGCTTTTCAGGCCCACACTACTGCAAGTTCATGTCCCCTCCCCTCGTCGTTGACAATCTCCGGGCCCCTATCTCATCCCGCCGGCAGGTGAACAAAATGTCGCTCAACGAGAACGTGGACGACGGCGACCCGTGCAAGTTCCGTTTGAGCAGCACCGACCCGCAGAAACCCAACGTCTCGTGGGTCTGCCAAATGGCCAGCGTAGACGAACGCAACGAGTGGGTGCGTGAGCTGCGCTCAATGCTGCAGACGCAACAGAACTTCCTCAAGGCCATCCAGTCGCCCATCGCCTACCAGGAAAAGGAGAAATTCAAAGAAGTGTAAGCATCAACGAATAACACAACGGTCTGATGTGCGACGCCGCGGCCGGGCATGACTCAATAACGGAGCGGCGGCCGGCGCCGGGTCCCCGGCGCGGTGGTTTTGGCGCATGCGCCGTGGCCCGCCGGCGGCTGACGGCAGTATGTGTATGTGTACATACCAGGCTAACATTGGGAGTGACAGCGAGCGAGAGAGAGTGAGAGTGGGTGCGAGTGGGGAGCCAGAGTATACACCCATATATACATATAATAAAGTCTATCGTTTGTACGGGCTGTTTGCTGGCGGTGACGGTACTGTCGGTACTGGGGTGATGTGTGAACTAACAGCCCGGCTGGCGTGCCCAGCTTGTGACGGTGAGAGGTCCCACGGGCCGCCCGGCGCCCGCCACTGTCAGCATGTGAGCATGTGCCTCCGCTGCTCTGTCCAGACGTGTGTCTCCTCCTTCCCTCTGTCTTCTGTCTCGACCGTGCCTGACACGGCTTGCATGGTGAATGAGCATGTGGACTGTGTGAAACGCATGTCGACTGTGGATCGCATGTAGACTGTGGAATGCATGTTGACTGTGGACCGCATGTAGACTGTGGAGTTGTGAAACAGGTGAGGTTCATGGACTAACACAAAAATAACACTACACAGTACACAGTATCATCACCCGAGGGCCTAAGTTAACACCACTGACCTTTTTGGCTCGTTCGAAATGACGATTGTTTGATGTGCATTGTGTGGTCCATTTTGTACTGGGCTTGTCTTTCGATTGGAGGGAATGTTTTTATATTCATACGTGACGCGTTTTGACTGTTAATGAGTTCTTTTTCCTCTTTTCGTTTACCCTTTTGTCACAATTTTGCATCAATTTTCGTTCACTTTGTGGAAAGTGTGCTGTGCCTGGTAGACTTTTGTTAAGCCACCCTTAATTTTCGTTCTTGTCATCATCGCTTTCTGACTCCTTAGTTGAGCACTGGATATATCGCCGTCTGTCCCGGTAGTATGTTTTTGTGTGTTCGGCCCGCCGTTTTGGGCCGCCTAGCATGCTGTCTGGGTGTGCTGTCGGTCCTCCCGACCTCCCTCTGCGCCCTGCTTAGCTTGTTTGCGCCTGTCTCCGCGCAGCGGCGAGCTGGTGGGCGGTCACCACGGCAGCGGGTCGCTGCGGCGCGGAGCCGTGCCGCCCAGCAGTCTGCTCGACAACGGCGCGGCGCCGGCAGAGCCGCACGGCCACCCGCCGCCGCACGCGCCCGTCCGCTCGCCGACCTCCAGTCTGCCGAGCTCTCCGGCGGCCGGCGCTCCGTCACCGAGCGGCGAGTTTCCCAGTCCCACCGAGCCGCGCAAACTGTCACTGCAGACCGAGAAGAAACCCACCGGCTTCCTGACAGGCTTCAAGAAGACGCTGCGCTCGCGTAAAACGGAGACGAGTCTGCTGTATGCGTCGGCTGAGGTGAGGACAGGGTGCGGGGGAGGACGGGCGGACAGGACGGCGGGACAGGTCGGTAAGGGTAGTGACCGAGTGCGCCCTACCCTGACCTGTGTGTGCCCGCCGCCGGGCGGGGTTCTTGTAGTGGGGAGACGGTACACTGGTATCTGTAACAGACTGGTCCCAACGGTCCGTCCTAGCCAGTTACTAAAATGAGGAGGGCTAACAATAATAACCAACGTCTTCATCTCATGTTGAAAAATCGTAACGAAAATCAAGCGAATACGTTTCAGTTGTGGTAGGTTCTGACTACTGGGGCTTGTGAAAAATGTGCATTTATTCCGTTTTCAGCTATTATATTTGTTAGCTACAGCTAGGCTGCAGCTGCTCAGCTCAGTATTGTTTCCGTTATTTCCTGGCTATATTCCAACACGGGTTTTATGCATTAGACATTGGGGCTGCCACATTTCTTATCACCTCTCTCCTCGATTGTCTGTCTCTGTTCGATATCTGTCCCTTCCGTTATATCTGACGTGATCTCTGTTGGCAGGCCGAAGGCGCGGCGCCGTTTCCCGCGGGTACCACGGTTTCCGTCGTGACCACCTACAACGCCGAGTGTGAGGACGAGATGGACGTTCAGCGCGGCGACCTCGTCCACGTGGTGTCGTACAACCGGTCGCGCGGCTACCTGGTGCACCGGGCTGCCACGCGCACGTCGCCGGCCGCCGAGGGCTGGGTGCCGCCGCACGTGCTGGCCGCCGCCGACCCGCTCCAGAGGCGCACCAACTGGGCGTTCCGGTTCCGACGGCCGAGCGGCGGCCCGCCGCGCGAGGTGAAGCGCCACTCCTCGGACCAGACTGAGCGGCGCCACGTCAGTGTGCGGCTCATGGAGCCGGGCCGGCCGCCGTGCCGACTGCGGCGCGCCCCCTCCGACGTGACCGTGTACGCCGGCGACACGGTGGTGCTCTCGTGCACCGTCAGCCAGCCGGAAGATGTGGTGGACGCCCAGTGGCGCGACCCGTGGAACCGCGTGGTGGACGGCGGCCGCGCCTCGCACACGGTGGATGACGACGGCACGTGTCGGCTGACCATCCAGGGCGCCGAGAGCGGCGACAGTGGAGAGTATGTGTGTGAGGTATTCACGGACCGACAGGTGCTGCGCGCCGCCGCCACCGTTACTGTGGTCGGCGACATGACCTGACCTCCGCCGCCGCCGCCGCCGCCGCCGCGTCCATTGTGATATCTTCTAAGTCAGTGTAGCCGCTCGGGGCCCGGCGCCGCAGCCCCCCAATGTGTCCCCCGTGCCGGCCGCGCGGCCCGCCGCCCCGGCGCGGGATCGCTGGTGAATATATACGCCACCGTTTTGCAGACGCTGTGTTTGGTACGATGACGGCTGACGAGGCTGGGGGGGGGGGGGGATGGGAGGGGGATACAGTAGAGGGCCGAGGGAATATCCGTTGTTTTAGCCCAGCGAGTAGATACACGCCAGCGGGAACGGAAACAACCCCCTTCGGAATGGCATGACGCATATGTCGGGCTTATCAATGAAGTATGCACTTTTACGATTGCTTGCAAAAGGCTCGGAGGAATTGTAATTACATTGCTCACCGGACGGTTTGCAGTCTGTGACATATCTATATAAAGGGCTCGTGAGAAGAAATGAAGGGAACCAGTGTCAAAAGTGGCTGAGCTCGCCAACAAATACAGGCTCCATGAAGTTAAATGCGTGGCGTAAAGGCTGAAACAGACTCTTTCCGTGTTCAGGAAATCGCATGCGAGAGCCTATTCAAATACATTGTAATTCTTGTCGCATCAATCGCTTGCGGGAGGTGTGTGCGATTGATGCGAGCGTGCCAATTCAAATATATTGTAATTCTTCTCGCATCAATCGATTGCGGGAGGTCAGGGATACGGAGCCGTGAAAATTTCAGACGGCTCCGGCTTCGGAGAAAAAAATCGGCTCCAGTTCCGGCTCCGGCTCCGGGTGAAATGTCATGGCGGCTCCGGCTCCGAGTAAAATGGTCCGGCTCCGGCTCCGACTCGGTTCATCCCCTATGCGCAGGGATGCGAAGCCGTGGAATTTTCAGGTAGCTCCGGCTCCGGCTCCGGCTTCGGAAAAAAATCGGTTCTGGCTCCGGCTCCGGGTGAATTGTCATGGCGGCTCCGGCTCCGGCTCCGGGCAAAATGTGTCGGCTCCGGCGGCTCCGGCTCCAGCTCCGGCTCCGGCTCCGCACCCCTGGGGGAGGTGCGTGCGATTGATGCGTGCGTGCTTCCATGTATTTGAATAGGCTCTCGCATGCGATTTCTAACACTAAACGCACGGGTGCAGTGGAGAATAGGGGTTTTGGGCGTGCTCGGCGTGCTCGAGCAATTTCGTCGCTTTCATTCGCAATGTGCTGAAATTTATTTGAAAAGACCCCCTGGGATTATGACAATTCTCTGCCCCTGACAAGTGACGAAACGCATAAGCCATTCTTATAAAGAAAAAGGACGGAGGGACGGAAGGAAAAAAAAGAACTCAATGATTTAAACGATTCCGTTTTTATTGGTTATCAAAAAAGGTTCCGTCCCTCTACCCCTCCCCTGTTTTGCCAGGATGCGTTTTTCGTCTAAATGATCAAGAGCTTTAGTAAATGAAACAGAAATTATTGCCTGCAATATTTTCTTATAAATTTCGTCACAAAGAATGCAATAAGACTAAAAAATACTGTGTGATCGCTATATAGGTATAATAAAATGAGAACCTGCAATTATTTGGGATCATATTTGAATTTTTATGGGACCGGGGGCTGTTGTCTGCTACGATCGTAACGATCAAGGATAGGTACTATGCATAGGCGAGGTGTGTAATATGTTGTAGTCTTTCCTGCTAGGCTGAAACCCACCAAAGATTGTTTTTGCGTATAGTTAAATGTGGTAGTACCTATGTCCTACTCAGTGATAGGGTGTCTAATAAGCGGTAAGGGAGCAACGCAGACACCCTGAGTTAGCGTGGCGGCTCGGGACAGGCGGTAGAGATAAAAGAGGAGGGGATACTGATAAGGCATCTTATCAGCTAGAGGACGACGCGGCGCGCGGCGAACGCGCGCGGCGGCTCGGGATGAAAGGGAGGGAGAGAGGGAAGGAGTAGGTAGAGAGAGAGAGAGAGAGAGAGAGAGAGAGAGAGAGAGAGAGAGAGAGAGAGAGAGAGAGAGAGAGAGAGACGGGTGGCGCAGGTGTTGTTTTGACGGTTTCGACTGACGCTAAAGAGGGGGGAGGGGGAGCGGGGGAAAGAAATGACCTGTGGATCTACTCTGTGTGGGGTCAGAGGACAGTCCAGCGAGAGCGCTTGAGCGTGGCGGAGTGTATACGAATTTCTCTACGTGCAAGCAAGAACTTTGAGTGCTAACGAGAAGTTGTAGTGCCACTCAGACCTCCAACCGTGATACCAGTCGAGGCGCCAGAGGACACAGGACACAGGCTAGGTGAGGGTGGAGCTGCCGGGAGGCAGTTGCAAACACCTACCACTTACTGGATATTGCATCTCAAGATGTCCAATCCTGCCTGTTCACGTGTATGCCTGATAAACAACGATAGCTGCAGAACGATAAGGTGGCGGTCTATAGGTATTTGGTCTGCATGTCAAATTGACGAATTTTTGTGTGAAATAACTCCCGACCAATGTCACACAGTTCACATATCGATTATCATGCAGCCTGAAACACATTTCGCTCAAGTTGCTCTCGCAAACAGCTAAACGTCGTACCAATGCCGTAAAAAAGCGCTGCTGAAGAGCAGCGCTATTTCTGATGCGTTATTTTTCACGAACAACGCAAAGTCTTACGTCACCAGATGCGTCTTTGTCTCTTTATGATACGGAAACGCGTCCTTTTAGGTGGGGGTAGCGTCAATTGGCTTCGTTCTTTGAACGGGTTCCGTCTTCCGTCTTCGTCCTTTTATGATAACCAAATTCCGTCTAATCTCAGAAATGACGGAGCGTCCCTCCGTTCTTTTCTTTATAAGAATGGCCATTAACGCCTACAAAGTATAAAAACAACTTCGTGGCCTTCGTGGCCATGATTGAGTTTCATCATATTAAGTTTATTACAATTTAGTAAACGTGACCCCTCAATTTTGTCTTAGTTGCGGGAATTATGTCGCAGAAAATGACAACAAACATGTCATGACAATGATGTTCTGTTTGTTGAAGCGCTGGAGGATTTTCGATTATTGAATATTATTTGGAAAGATTAAGGCTTAGCTGTGATTTTCCAGTGCTGTATCTATTCTGACATCTAATTGCGAAAGAATGGACCCCAACGGGAACGAAGGGGTGAGTTTTGCACTCCGAATTTCCCGTGTTTCATAATTCATATTGATGGCCGTCATTCGTCATGTGCCTTCACCTTGATTTATTGGTACCTAGTCGTAATTTATTTATATTTTTACTAAATGTTATCATTTCAGGAGACAAGTACCCAAGTGCAATAATTACATCTTCTTTTGTCAAGCGTTTGTAATAGTCACACAAAGTTTGTTTGGGGCCTCTGAATATATGCCTTCAAAATTAATCAATTCTACAAACATTTTCCTTTCATTTATATGCATGCATTTACCTTAACTATGGACTAGGCCGGTTTGGTTGGCCCTAAAATGGTGTTGTGTGAACACTAACTTTGGGGCTAAGTGGGGCAAGCAGTAAAAACAATCCTGACCCTGTGTGGGCCCCAAAAGTTTAAACACCGGACGGGGTTAACCCACCCGAAGAATAAACACCGGGTTCAGAAAGAGGCCTCATTTCGAACACTGCAGTGAGATACACCAGACAGTGGCCATCAGGCTGGATATCTGCATCAGCTTACACCAAATAACACATAATTTTGGCTACATATTTTATAGATCTGCACTTGTGACAAGAAGACAACTGAAATAAAAGGTTCACACTTCCACCCAGTACTATGTTGGGCCACCCTACACAAAAGCCACACCATTACCTAGTAAGCCAGCCATATCACTGCACAGTGCAATTGTGGAGTGTCCCAGCACTGATAATATCTCTTCTAGATTGTGATGCCTTGTAGGCTGGCCTCTCTGGCCCTCATTTCTGACCACTCCTTGAAAATTTGAATTTTTTAATCTGTCTAATGTCAAGTCTTTTCAAGACTCATGTCACTATCACATCTGAGTAGCCTTGTCATTTTCACCTCCAGTCACTTTTTTCCTTTAGACCTGCTGCATGAAGCTGACTATGTCTTGTTCTTGTTCCAGGCAGATGCACCGCAGCAGTGCCTGTACTGCGATGGCTTCTATGGCATGTCATTTGGCCAGTATGTGTGCTCCACCTGCCACCTATTCCTCTTCCCAGAGGATGTCAACCATGAGGCCTATGTCGGCCTGACTTCAGAGGTAAATGCAATTTGAGATAATTCATTGGCTGATGGGATGTGTAAACAGGTGCTGCCCATGGGATTTCTTCATGGATCATGGGTGGAGGCATGACTAGAGCCATGGGCGTTTTCAGAATTTTAGAAGTTAAAAGTTGACATGTTGAGAAGGTACCTTCAAGAAAATGTTTCGGATGATTGATCCTTATGGCATAGCAATTTTATGTTGTATAACTGCTTTGTAATGTAACACATACACATTGTATCTACCAAACATAAAACATCATTAGTCTAATCCTCTCCCTCAACAGCAGAAGTCCGACGACAGTGACAGCGGCAATGAGGAGCCTCCGGACCTGTTCGCCGTGGCCGGTGGTGGTGGCGGCCGGCGGGCTCGCTCGCCGCCGCCGCCCATGCCGCCCCCGTCACCGCCGCCGCCGCTGCCGCCTCCTGCGCCGGCCGTGGACCGTCTGGCCGAGCGTGTGGAGCGACTGAGCGTGCCCCACCCGGCCGACGGGGCGACGACGGCCAGCATGGGACGGCTTCCTCCAGAGGGTGAGACGCTCAGATAGTATGGGGTCGGATTGGGGCTGGAGTACCAGAGAAAGTACGACTGCCTCCGGAAAGGGGGATGTGATCATCCAGACTGAGACTCAGACTGATAGCTTGAACGCTCGGGGACCTACGGTGCCCCATCATTTCGATTTGAGAACATTTGTAAGATACATTGGTGAGCGGTCCCACTCCCAATGCACTGTCCTGGTGAGACAGGAGATGCAGGAGCCTTCGTTCTCTTTGGCATGTATTAGGCCTCATAAATACTTCAAAGCATTTCAATGGAGTAGGTTAACAATTTGAATCGAGTAAATGGACAGCTCTGTTTCCTTCAATGTTGATGTGTTGGGATGTCAGCTGAATTGAGCTGAGAACCCGATCAGCATTATCTATATTTTGCTCTTGTTGCAGTGCTTCTGGTGATCTTTGGCTACCTGGACGACATCTCGATGTGGGCGGTCAGCAACGTCTGTAAGCGCTGGCGCCACCTGCTCATGTCGCACGTGCCCGACGAGGAGTGGCACCGGTTCACCGAGAAGCGGTTCCCGCTGTTCCGCGCCCTCTACCGCGTCCACTGCTGGTCATACATCTACGCCAAACTGTGAGTGCAGCTGGCACAATAGTTGTTGGGACTTTTGTAGTTAATTACGGCGAAAGAACTTCGGAAGTCATTGCCGGAATCGTGAAGTCTGTGTACTCGGCCTTTCGTTCGTTTTCATACGTTGCTTATGTTGTAACCATTTTATCCAGGTTTTTAGTCTCTTACTTCTAGAGATGGTCCCAAGCTATCAGTATTAATGCGCTATGTTATATGACGTAGTATCTCCGTGCCGTCATATTTATACTATACTGCTGGGTTCTGACATTGTTCAACCGTCTGGTGTGTGTCTCAGAATTGAGAGCACTACGTGCCTGCTGTGGTGTGTCTCCTGTACCTTATCAGCGCCTTCTACTCATCTGCCGCCCGTTGCAGGATTGAGAGCGCGCCGTGCCTGCTCTGTCTGCACCAGATGACTCCCCACTGCCGCACTGTCGAGGACGAGAGGTCCTTCCGACGACGGCGGCTCGTCCACGAGCAGAACGGTGAGTGCATCACAGGCCGACCATGGACAGCATTGCAGAGCTTTATTTGATCGGTACACAAGAGCGCAAGCATCTGGTTTTGAAGTTTGGTTGCAATTAATGTGTAGATAATGCGTATTCACATTGTTGACCTGCCGAAGTAAATGTTCCGTAATTCATCTGATGTTCTGAAGCGCTAAGAGCGACACCCTGGCTGCCCACCTGCTGTCACTGTTCAGACATCACTGACATCCCTGTGACATTTATGATTACCGCTACAGCGTGAACAGCGATCCGCTACCCCGTCCCCATCAGAGGACCACCTACCACCAACACTTCCATCTTCTCCCTGCAGCTCTGAAGGCCGACCCGCCGGAGGGGATCCGCGCCACTCCTCTGGATGACACCTACAGCCACTGGCAGGCCAGTATCACCGGTCCGGCCGGCAGCGCCTACGAGGGCGGTGTGTTCCTGCTATACCTCCAGGTGCCCGACAGCTACCCCCTGAGACCGCCCGTGGTGCGGTTCATCACTAAGGTGCTTCATCCGAACGTGTCTAGACATGGTGATATCGGTATTGATTCGATACATCACAACTGGACGCTGGCGCTCACCATCGGAAAGGTACGCGGGATAATGGTGGGACATATTTGGGCTGGCAACTGGTGATGAAATGTGGAGTCTGTTCTTCGATACTTGTTTTGCTATAACCGAGCTGTTTTCAATGCACTATTAAATGGATCGAGTCAAAGCGTCCGTTAGTTTTTTAAGCATCGACGTACAATACTACCGGTGTGTTATCGAGTTGTATTCAATCTTTGCATCAATTCATTCGTCTATTATTCGTTCTTTTAAATCTTTCACTCGATTAGTAACTTGGTACAGCTTCAGGAAAGGTGCACACTGCACACCGTATGCCGTATTTCCGAATCCAACATTCTGCACACTGTGTGACGGATTTCCGTCCGTCAGGTGCTGATCTCCATCCAGAGCCTGCTGACGGACCCGTACTGCAAGGTGTGTATGGAGCCGGCCGTGGGCGCGCTCTGCCAGCGCAACTGGCTCCAGTTCGTCGGTGAGGCGCGCGCCTGGACCTGGAAGCACGCCATGCACGACGCCCTGATGCCGCCCGACGAGGAGCTGCGAGAACGGCTGGTCGGTGGAGGAGGGGACAGGACGGACGGGGACGGACACCGGCAGCACCGCGAGGGGCGGCACCATCACCACGGGGAGGATCGGCACCATCACCATCATCACCATAGAGGAGAGGGGCAGCACGAGCACCACAGGGAGCAGGGAAGTCACCAGCACCACAGGGAAAATCGGCATCAGGGAGAGCAGGGGCGCCATCATCGAGAGGAAGAGTCTCATCAGAGAGAGGAAGAACTTCAACATGGCGCGGAGGGGCCTCAGAATACAGAGGAGGCGCCGACACGGCAACTACTCACCAGTAGTCCGGAGGAGCCCGCTCGACCCGGTGAGCCGGGACCTGTTGAAGTACGTCCCTCTGGTACGGACGCTACAATGGTGTAATGGAGCTCGCTACAGCTGTGCAGTGTGCAACTGATCAGGTGAACTGTGTGAATTCACGTTAGTGATGATACATATACAGTTTCTTGTCGCTACTGCTAGGCAATGAAATATGTATGTTTGTAAATTGTGGAGGAGCCGCTTTTCACGCTGTTTAAGAACGTCGTGGCTCGTGTCATGTTCAGAGTGAACCTGTGTTGGAAAGGCTGTGGTTATGTTCGTTGTGAAGGGCGTGAAAGCCTTGCGCGCTGCATAGTGTGTTCTGAAATGTGACTTGTAGATTACATTAATTACAATAGTACGACAGGATGGACTCGCTCGAACTGTTGTAGCTGTGCTGGGATCGTTTACATTTCAGTTGACCTGACAATACACATGCACTGTTGGTAGCAGCCTCACGAGAATCACTTTTTTCTTATTTGCGCTCGTTCTTTATCTATTTTGTGAAGGCTCATTGCGCTACATCTTCAGTTCGACTGGATCTGCTCTTATTTATGGATGTATGCTATCACTGTCGCCGTAAATAGATTACGACTAAACCCAGCATCTATTTTGAAGGTTTCGGGTTAGGGAGGGTGCTTATCCTAAAGTTGCCAATAGCAATCATTTATGTACGACCCTGACAAGTAGGTATGGCCTTCTAACCAGCTTCTAACGATCTTTTGGCAATGGAACTCGTCCCCATCTCACATTGTTTTCACTGACTGCTCAAAAAATTGCAAGCAGAGCGGGCCAAAACGTCTTTTTGACGCTCACAAACGGGGAGATGTTTGTAGACAGAAGCATTTCATCACTGTCTTGTAACGATCACATGGAAAGTTGCGATGATTTATCATATAACTATTTTATTACGAAGCTTTTTATTCATTTTACATAAAAATTAGCCAGAGTTGTTATTTAGTAGCATATTTTTTCATGTGTATGGGTCAAAGGTCGACAACTATGACGCTTCAAGGTCAAAACTCAATGTTCGAATATTATTTACGGTCCAACAGTTGCCTAGCAACGCCCAGCCTTCAACAGCAAACGATTGGGTGAAGGGTAGTTGCTAGGCAACTGCAACATCATCGAATGGTGTCAACATTTTGAAGAACACAGTTTTTGCTTTGTGCATTTCACGTGCGTGTAGGTGCGTGTAACGTGTGAATGTAAATAAATAAATTGTGTCTCTGGACTTGCTCTGGACTGCACTAAATATTATTTGTGGTAAGCAAGACTAAGATTAAGAGCAAGACTACCGGCTTCTTTTGCCCCGTTGATCATATATCCAACCAAGTTTGGTACCAAAATCAATCAAAAGAGACTATGCCATCAGCCATGCCAATGTGTTATGGTCACTTAATAAATTGACTGATGAATTGGGTTGGAATATAGCCTAAGCTGTCTTATGTGTATTAGGGCCTTCGCCTGAGCTTTCTGGTTCACAAATGATCCTGAGCTAAATAGAGTTCAAGTGTTCAAGTTATAGGATGTACAGTCTGTCTTAAAAGTACCGGGCAAAGTGACGGTGGATCCATCAAGCCTGACCGAGGAAGGGCCTGCTAAATTTAAGTCACCGAAGCAATTTACATCCTCGTCCATTCCCCAGGTCAATTGGTTTGATGATTTGCAAATTATAGCAGGCCCTTCCTCGGTCAGGCTTGATGGATCCACCGTCACTTTGCGCGGTACTTTTAAGACAGACTGTACTCATGTGATCAACTTTGACTGATGTACAGCCTGCTGCAGAAGTACCTAATTTGTGGTTTCAGTCATGGTTATGTTTTTCTTTCATACCTTAGGAACAATTTGCCAGACTACAATGAACCTTGGAATGTAGCTCAGGTCAACATGTTTTGTCATCCTTGCAGCTGCAAGCTTAGCTTTTGCTGTCTACTCCTGGGTGGGTCATTCCGTATTCAGTATTAAAAAATTGTCAGTCAAAGCCATCTGCTGAGATTGAAGAAAACTCACATTTTTTAGCAGTGGGCTGTATCTTCATCATGCACCTCAGGCTTATTGACGGCTTTACATCAGCTCTCCTCTGAAAGTGTCAACTTAAACACCTAAACCGATGACGTAAGCCAATATTAGAGCATCCGAGTGTTGGCAGCAGTCTGTGAAATTCAAAGTTCCAGGAAGACTCATTTGTCATGGGTCATGAGCTGTTGAAAGAATCCTAATCTGGATCATTTGTTGCTAGAATAAAAATAATATGGCCAAGACTCAGCTAGAATACCACCCATGCAATAGGTACCTATTTGGATGGATGGATTGATATATTGAGTAATAATGCAGAATCTTGTTGCTTGCTGCAATGTTAACCAAAGTACTTTTTCTTCTGCCAGATCCAGCAGATCCTGGTTACGACGGGTATCATACGAGCCAAACGAGCCATGTCGCGGTGTCAGTCACGGGTCGTCACATCTCCCCTGGACCGGAAGCCTGCCGCCCTGTCAGCTCTGCAGCAGTATGGGGGCTCTGATTCTGACTCTGACTCTGACATGGAGGTCGACGTGGAACGACTCGCAGAAAAGCGTCGTAACTCAGACCGGGCCACGACCGAGTCAAAGCGTCCCCGCGAGGCACTCCCTTTGCCCTCCGCTGTTCAGGAGATGTTCTCAGACCAAAGTGAACAACACCAAGATAAGCCCGAAGAACACGAGGGCCGGGTGCGGGGCTTTGCGCACGTGCGCGGCAACTGGGCCTCGTACGTGTTCATCCCGTTCGAGGCGACGCCGCTGTTCGATTCGCTGGTGCAGACGTGCCTGGTGATCTGTGAGCGACTGGTGAAGATGACGGCTCAGGAGGAGTTTCACATCAGCCTGACACGCACCGTGGTGCTCAAACACCACTGGATTCAGGAGTTTGTCCAGTCCATCAGACAAGTCATGGAGTCGTTCCAAAGGTAGGTTTTTACGAATACTGCCACTTCAATTTCGGAAATGATAGTTTGATCTTGAAAGAGATCTAACAACTTCCAGCTCTCCTTATCTGACTTATCCGACTATCTGTTTAAATTTCGATTAGTTATGATCAGCTTATGGTAACTAGGTAGCTCTAGAATGATCTTACATTACACTGGGACTTAACCCTCCAATGACCATTTACCGAACTCCTTCCGTTCCAGGTTCCAGTTGTCGGTCGGGCCGGCGCGGATGTATGTGAATGACGAGGGCACACGTACCTTCCTGGGTCTGACGGTGACCACCGGACTGGAGGCGGTGACCAAGACGAGTCAGAGGCTGGACCGCTGTCTGGACGAGTACGGGCTACCGCCGTTCTACGAGGTAGGCGCTGTGTGAACCCGCTGATCTGGGAGACTGGGATGCTGCTGTATCAGCCCGTGCTAAGGCTGAGGCGCGTGTTGGGTAGCGGCAGAGGGGCGTATCTTTGAACGTTTAGCCGGGGTGTTTTGTTGTTCGAACTGGGAGAGTGAGTTGGAAAGGTATTCGTAGCATAAGCAGACATGATTTGTGCAAAAGAAGTGCATGGATCCGCCAGATTGCTAACGCCCACGGCGTTTCTGTCTCACAGGTCCCATTGATTACAAAGACCACCTAAGGACGCATTCCATAACAATCGATTTGGTGGGCGACGACAACCCGTGTCGCCTCCCCTTTCTGACCTGTTACCGGCCTGTCCTCCCCAGGAGGGTTCGTTCCACCTGTCGGTGGCGTGGGCGGTGGGCGACCGCAGTGCTGCCCTCCAGCGGCTGCTGCCCGAACTGGATACGGCCGTGGCCACCTACGCCAGCCAGAGCCCGCTGGTCTGTGACGTCACACGACTGGAGTGCCGCTGCGGGAACCGGAGGTTTGACGTACCGCTCGGCGGGACCGGGAGGTGACCTGGGCTGTGATCTAACCCGGGCTGACCTCTCCTGAGCGGTGACCTGGGCAGAAACCCCCAGATCTAGTAGTGACATGACCTGGGTTCTGTGGAGATGGTGACCTGACCCAATTTGAACCTCTCCCGGGTGATAACTTGACCTAGGTTGACATCTGTACTGGGTTTGGGTGGTGACCTATCGCAGGCCAGTAGCGAAGGGCCTGGTGAGGACCTACGGATTATGTGCTGTGATTGTTGGGCCATTGCTCGTATCGGTGTCGAGCGCTCGCCAATTGTTTTATTGCGGGTTTAGCATCACCCATCATCGACTATGTTCATCGTTTGCGCATCACCATCGCTGTCTCTGTTGCGTGGAAAACGAATACGAGGCTAAAATGAACATCTTTTTCGCTATCTCACTCTCCAACAGTGTTCATCGGACAAGAAAATCAACGGTTCACCGTTCAACTAAGCACATTTTCTTGGAAATATCCCACCACGTTCTGACAGATATATTGCGTAAAAATAGATTCTCGGCCCGGCCTCGCGCGAACACTCTGTATCACCACACGAACTAGCCGGTACGGGTCGGGCTGGGGCGACTGGCGGCGGACATCACTGCGCGACCAGCCCCCTCGACACCGACTGTGACTGTGAGGCAGCCAGCGCTGGCCGCTACGGACTCTGCCACCCGCACTGGAGTCCATTATGCATCACCAGACTGCACGACACTGGACAAGAATAGAGCATATTGCATATTCCGATATAGATCTCTAGTGTGGACAGGCGCCATACGCACTTAAAGCTAACACCGCGCAACGTTGTTAGTATCGAACGATTTTCACTTCAACTTGCACCTGAAAAAGAATGAACTGCGTATTAGTGCACCAAAACCGAAAGTGGTTCAAAACTAACAACACATTCGCGCTACCCTACGACTATGACTTCAGTGCGGCTCGGACGCCTGACGAATCTCTACGTAGCACCAGCTGTTGAGGGAGCAGGACACGTCACAATGACTCCCAACAGCCCACTCTCTACAGCGGGACATCGGGACCTACCGCCCGCAGCCCGCGGCGGAGACTGAGTCCGTCGGCTCTAGTCTGGACCAGGGCCTGCCCGGCCTACCGGCGTTAAACCTACCACACCCCGATCCTGGCTTGACATAAGTCCCTCCCGCTTGCTGAGGGCCGGTCGGGACGCGTTACCTTGTGTCCGACCTGCCCCGTCTGCGGCGGGACGCACAGTCACAGTGACACTGACACTGACACCGTGACACTAGTGACACAATCCGAGCCGGAACGGTCACCAACTGACACCAACTGACACAAACCAACTGCAAACCAGACTAAAATATTGCTGATGAATACAACGCACGCACGAAATGCACATCAGATCACATCGAAAGCTAAGTAGCTGCGCCATGGATCAAAGAACACTCTTGCATCTGCTAAAAGGAAGAACGCAATGCAAAACTCACAAGAATAGAGAAAATGCAACTATTACCACTGAAAAACTTATGAAAGAAAACAGCATTAAAACATTAAAATGCAGCCGTCCACTTCACATGCTCGTAAAATATAACATCTCGAGGAAAACGTCCTTCGCCAAGGAGGTTCATCCAACGACGCCATTCTCTCAACTGATGACGTCATTTTGACAACGATGACGTCACTATCACCCGTTGCTGCCTGTGAGGCAGCCATCGACCGGCCCAGCAGAGTATATCTCAGGCTCCTCCCGCTTTCCACAGCAACTAACCTCGCGATGTTGGAACTGTTAGACTTCAGGAGAATCGATGAATTTGTGATGACGTTTCGCCTTCCAGCTCCGAAAGTTTGGTGACTCAACAAGCTCGCGGTTGAAAGAATCTTTGGACGGTAAGCAAACTCAAATTTTCAGGACGGTACCATCAAAGTTTCAAATTTTCCATCTTCCTCCTCCACACCTATCAATTTTCCTTATCTCCTCACTCCTCAGTCACTCGTTTCGCCGTTCGCTGTGAGCCGACCGTTCGTCCTCTCCGCTCTCCCGTGTCCTCTCACCGCTCCGGCGCTCACAGTGAGAAGAATGTGAGGAAGGTGAGCGGCGGGATGGGCACGCAGTAGCGGTCGCGCTCGTCGGCCGGCAGGCGGGCCAGGTTCACCGAGCACGGGTGGCCGAGCGGCTTCCAGAAGAGACAGCGACAGGCGCGGCACAGGTGCACCATCTCGGCGTACTCCTCCCGCAGACCGTGCAGGCGCCGCAGACGGTGGTACAGCGCCTGGCGGGACATGGAGAAAAGTCAGTAAAGGTTATGAGGTCTATAACAAGGGCGGACCAAAGGTCCTTCGGACAGTCAGACTACATCCAGCAGGCAGCGTGAGGTCTCTAGTCAGGGTGTGGTTTGCTAATGGGAAAATGTCTGCTCATGCCTCATAGGATAGTACCTAAAGCGTTTGAGATTTTGACGATAATTTTCAGGTGTCCCGCAACTGCATAGTGAAGTAGTGGTAAATCAACATAGTCCCAACAAACATCTTCCTGTGCCGTCTAAGCACAGTGCGGATTCTCGTTCAGTTTTTCTCACCCCAACTCAACCACAAATCCCGACCCGATAACGCCCCACCTCCCAGTACCACTACCCACCTGCCAGTCGACGGTGGCCGCTGTGAGTTCGGTGGGCGGTGCCGAGGCCGACCGGACCCCAGTAGCCACCAGCTGGGCCTGGATCTGCGCGCCACTGAAGTGGTACTGACACAGCTGTCGCCAGATGCGGCTCTCCTCTGCAATCTCTGCCAGCACGCGGTAGGCCTGCGCCGAGCTGGCCAGGTCGCGGTGGTCGTTGAGCCGCAGCACCACCTCGCGCAGACACTCGGGAGGCAGGCGGTGTAGGGCGAACGGCGCCGGCCCGCCGTCCAGACGGATCTGCTGAGCCACCGCACGGATACGGCTGTCGGAGTGGGAAACGGAACGTCAGACAGACAGGTGGAGCGCAGTTGGAGCGCGGATGAAGGTTCGGTACGGGAACAGCTCCGCCAGTCCCGGCTATAGAGGGCAGCACAGTCAGACACGGTTAAGAAGAAGCAGGCAGTTTTGTCGCACAGACAGTGCGCTGGTCTAAAAGCACCGATCACGCCAAATGCCTGTCACAACAAAACGCCTACGATAGGGCATGGACAGAAAAGGCATCAAACCACTCTTATCAGCAGACCTGCAAGCTTCGCTGACCCCCCATCCAGCCAGTATGTCCTATATTCCCACCTGATGGCCTGGTGGTGCTGCTCCCAGAGCGGTGACGAGCCCAGCTGTTGGCCAAAGCAGTAGTACTCCATCAACATCGCCTTCAGGTTCTCCAGCATCTGGTTCAGCACGCGCAGGTTCGACTTGTTGTGTGACACTGCGGCGAAATAAGTATCGTCAGATTTCGGCACCGATGCAGCCTTCTCGCCAAAACTGGCAGCGATACACGCAAAGCGGAGATCGGAGGCAAGTCTGTATGTACGATCTAAAAAAGAGCACTGCAACGTCTTAGATGGCAAAATATCGGCAATACCTGGTCTGCTGGTCACGAATCATGCAGTGACTATAGCAACTATCGTCATCGACTATTAGTTCATTTGCCAACACAACCAATTGCAACCCCATCCCTCCCTCACCGGTATGGGCGAGCTCCTCCAGCAGTGAGAAAACCACCTTCTGGGCAGTACCGGAGAGCGACATCACGCTCTCGTTAATCAGCAGCTCCAGCAGCTTGCACACGTAGTTGAAGCGACGCGCGTCGTGCAGCGCAGACTTGAAGTCGAGTCGCTTGATGACGTCGCTGAAACCCGTGTAGCCTCCCACCTGACGGGCAAAGCGCGGGTTATAGAGTCAGGCGAGGTCGAGGCCGCTGCTGTGGGGGATGTGAATATGGCTCAGAAATAATGGAACCGATTAGCAACGCGCCGTGGCGGTACACACTACACAGAGGCATTGCATGGGGTTAGGGGAAAATGGTGGACACAAGAGATAAATAAATGAACATCATTTATATCGCCTAAACGATCTATGTTGGAGTATCCTCCGAACTGACGATCACCATAATTTATTAGTTCTGTATCCCGACTATACAGCTCCCCTGTTTCGTGTTCCCCTTGATCCTACTTCGTGACGGTTCAGATGCCCCCTCGTTCCCCGCCTGTCGCCGCCCCAGCTCACCTCTCGTGACGGTTTGACGGTGATCTGACAGTGCGGCGGCGGAGAGTAGTTGATGCCGGACGAATCTGCCGGACAGAGGAGCGGAAGGCACGTCAGCAAGGTGATGTGTGACGTGACGTGATGGGAACTGATGTGAGACAAACACGCAACGCGTTATACGGACAAAACACGGCAGACATCGGGAAAACACATTTGTCAGCTAAAAAAAATCTGATCAGGGCTGTCGCGTGATCATTTGCTGGGATAAGGCATCCGACAACCTATCATGGCATTCACAATTTGTTAAGTCACGGGAAAGAAACCACAGAATGGCGCGACTAAAACAAATATCTGAGCCCATCGATCCGCAACCTGGCCGATCGTGCCCGTCAGTGAGCAAAACCGGCCGCTCTAAGGCCGCTTGAGCTCTCTGAGCGCTCGGTAACAACACAGCGCCCTCGCTCCCCCGTGACGTCATCTCTCAGGGTCTCGGTCGGCGGTGACGTAATCGGTACGGGTGCACGCGTCACTGCACACACGCCAATGGACCGCCGAAGCCCAATGGGCGGCTCAAAGGACCGTGCCGATGAAAAGACGCAGATGGTGCTCCGATATCGGGGGTCGTTTGGATGAAGGCCGGGTGAGATGTGGGGAGGTGATTAAGCAATTTCTCGGTAATATCGGGTGATCGATCACGGTTTGTCGGAAGGTCATCTCAGGCTCAAAAGAAACGATGTATACCATTCGAAAGCTTACGGTGAGCTGAATCCAAAAATGTATTTTTTATCAAAATCGATCGATGGCCTTTTTTGAAAATTGCGTTTTTCTAAAAACTTAATAATCTTTTATTCAACGGGCTGTCCCGGACATTCTTGAAAACATAAACATGTATTTTTGAGTTCCAGTGAAAGCTGAACGCCAAAAGAACAATATTCAGCGAAGCAATATTTCCAAACATTAATATGCGTCTCCCACAGCCGAAAATAAGGCGCAATCACACAGCTCAGTGTCACGATGGACCAAAGTCAGCCACACAGAAGCGTGAAATGACCCTTATCGACTTGCAGACCCGGCGCTCTCGGCCCGCCTGACCGGCCACGGAAAGAACGTTCGGCTCTCGTTCTACTAAACAAATGTCAAAGTTGTCAGTTTCACTGTCCACATCGCTATTAAAGCTTTTCTGGATACCTGTGAAGAAAATTCATTGTTCTGTCATCTTCACATCATGCATTAATTTGCATC